AAAGCTTCCCATTTTGAAAGATGAAATTAAAATTTTCATAATATACATAATTTGGCTTTTATTCATTTTGGTCAAGAGTAATTGATTAGTGAAGGCCTTTAACGTATTAATTCTGAAGCATGCACGCAAGCCTCGCGGTGGTGTCACGTTTGTTTGGAGGGTGAATCTGCATTATGCATGTTCACTGAGCTGTCTATATATTGGCACCTGGCAGCATGACCTGTGAATCTGGATTTCTCTCCGCAACTTCCATGCCAGCCAAGATTGCTTGCGCTGATGGAATTTCTCCCTAGTTTTAAGAGTCCAGTATTTTTAATATTTAATATAAAAATTAGATAACTAATTTATAAATATTAAAAAAAATTAGTTAAATTGGTTATCAATAAAAATGTGTCTTGTTTTATGCAAAATCAGTAACTCTATGGAAACTCTCATTTTATATATGTAATTAGTGAGTGATAAATATGTGTTGGTTTAATGCCATCAAGACCAAAGCAAATATCTCAACTACTAATGGTGTGTTGGGTCTAGCAAAGGACTAGTTTTTTATAACGTGACGATTTAAGGTTCGAATCCGAGAAACCACATATTTTGGCATTGTCTCGAATATGAATGGTTTCAATAAGCCCTGGAAAAAAGATGAAGCAAATATCCCAATTAGCTTCTCTATTTAGAATGAGAGAGTAATATTCATTTAAATAAACTTAATAGCCAAGAAAATTCTCCACTTGTGTTTGTCTTACCGTTGGTCACAGTACATGTTATCAAAGAGTTAGTACTAGAGATATGTGCCCTATAAAAAATAAAAACATTTAAGTACTAGAAACGTATAACTTATCTGATTTAGGTATATTTTATTTTGTAAATTTCACTGTGAGTTTTCAAATTATAATACTCCTCCAACCCTCAACATAAGATCTAATTGTTAAGTTGATTTTTATCCTAAATATAAGACCTATTTTTTATAGTTATCATTTTTTCCTAAATTACCCTTATGAATATTCTTTCAACCATAGTCAAATAAGTGAGGGAAAAAGAATATTAAGAAAAATGATTATGGTGTTTTAGAAAAAACATTTCATATTTCTTATAATTAACTAACTTACCTAACTTCCTTAATCTAATCAAATTAGTTAAATAGGTCTTATATTAAGGATCAGAGGATATCTGAAATATTCTAATGACCTTTTTTTCATTTCCTTTGAGGCGAGTTGCTATTAAAATATAAACATCCATATCCTACTCAAGATCACGAGTCGGTAATCTTTGTGAAGAAGCAACGAACTGCATTATTAACAGATTATTCTGGTTCTCTCCTCTAGCGCCGCATGATTAAAAATAAAACTAAATGAATGAGCACAATATAATCTAAATTAACTATTTATCTATTTATATAGTGCCTTTTGGGCTTTTTATACTCTTTAATAAATTTGTTGCTTAAATTCAAGAAATTAAAATAACCTTGAGAGTGTAGAACTCAATTGACTTAAGTGGGTGTTTTGTAACTATGTTAAAAAATGATTTTACATTTTAGTATAATGTAAAATTAATTGAAATAAACTAATCGAAATAAGACTATGGAATAAGTCTCACACTAACCTTGCATAGTTGCATGTATGAAGTATAATATAAAATCCAAAAAAATTTTTTTTGTGAATAATGTATAAATTAGTATTAATATTATGCCATAATAATATATTAATCTTGAAGATTAACGAATCTTAATGACATCTGTTAGAAACAAAGAGAAAGAGATATCAATTAATAATCTTAAGTGGATTGACGTATGTTCATTAGTATAATTATTAATTAAACAACATAATCTAAATTCCATATGATAAGAATAAGTGGAAACTTTGTCATGGTTTCATAAAGATTTACCGAGTGTTGCTGAGAAGTAGTAACATTGACTCTTCTTAAATTGTGGCATCATCATTCTTCAGTCTATATAACATCAAAAAGTATTTATTCTTCTTGGCCCCATTTAATTTGATCTTCTAGAAATATGTGTTTAAGGTTCTAGAAATGTTCTCGATCGTTCTCCCCCTTTGTAATAGTTTTAACTACAAATTTTCCAGCATATATAGCAAACTGAACTTGTAATCTTTCTAATGAGTTCCCATTCAGTTCTTGGTTTTACTAATGCCATATCATTCCCTCCTTCTATAAAAGTGATGATCATAACGTGTGTGTGTGTGTGCCAGGAAAAAATATAGAAGAAAAATATTTGCAATGTAATTAGTCCCCAGAAGTATCATATTATTATAAATAGCAAGGAAAAATTATCTATGAAACTCAATATATAACATTTAAACCATAGGTTATGTAGTGGTGTGACATGATTGAAATTTAGGATGTGTTGATTTCATTCACATTCATATTGTTTGCTATGAATAGAAAATCTAATAAAAAAGTATCAATGTATGCATAAGAAAATAATCAATTAGTGCATTAAAGGACATTTTTCTTTTGAAAATATTTACGCGAAGCAGCTGTGGATATTCAAAACTTTTTTGTTACTCAATATCACATTGAAAGTATTAAAAATAGAGCAATTTCGCCCATGCCATTGGAAAGAAAAAGATAACAGTCACGTTAGTTTAATCTTCTAGTAGGTAGGGTAAGATTGCTTTGTTTAATACTCTTTCATTCCTAAATATAACACCCATTTTAAATTACACTAAAAAATAGATCTTATATTTAGAATTGGAAGAGTACTTTTGAGATGATGCTGAACAAAAAATTTCAAATACTTGACAAATATTTTTAGGACGAAAATAACACAACCCATGATTAGTACAAAGTACAACGGTAGGCATGCACTTTGATTTCGTCTTTCTCGTTTATCAAGTGCGCAATGATGCTCCGTCTCTTTCAGACGCGTTTCTTCCGTGTTGTAAGACCAAAAGCGTCCATTTTCATTTGTGAACACTTCATTAAGAGAGAGTTTTAAATAATTTTGTTTTAAAAAAAGAATATACACAGAAGAAAATTGCGTGGTTTGGTCCAATCCAAGCACAGCTAATAATGTGGAAAAAATTGCCTAGGAGGTAGTAGAAGCCAGAAACCCATAATTTAATTATCCAAAATAATGTAGAAGATGAATCTCCGATATAAATGGACGCAAAATCTGGTGTGCCTTTTGACTTGATAAACTGTAATAAGTAATGAAGAAAGACATGTTAAATGATGAACCCTACAAAGCCTCAAACCGACACACCTAGAAATTTGAAGGAAGGTTGATACATTAAAACACAAACATAAGCTTTTACTAAAGCCCCTTTAGGTTTTGCTTTCGGCTGTTTTGTTCCTTCAAAATAAACTATTTCTCTCGTTGACCCATCATTCCTTCACCCATTACCTTGTAATTTTTTTTCCCAAAAAAATAAGAATATCGAATCATTCAACATTGTGTGTCAAAGAATACCCATGTGGTCCTGCCTCTTTGATCCTTATATTTCCGTACCTCTATTTTATCCTACCTCGAATGCTCAATATAAAAAGTAGTTGACTAATTTAAGTAAATTAAAAAAATTTGTTTAAGTTAGTTATTTATAATAAATATGTATTGTCCTTCACATAATACTTTTGCTAATTATTTATTTGCTAGAACTACCATTTAATAAAATCTTTAACATGTGTGACATTATAAGAACTATTTTTTTTAAAAAAAGGTTAAATATGAGAGATAAAGTAGATTTGGATTTTATATTTAAAACCAAATTAAAAGTCAAACTAATTTTTTATATTAAGGACCGGAAATAGTAGCATATAATATGCTACTACCTATATATGCTTTTTCCCTTCTCACATGCAACTATTTCTAATTCCATTCCTTTTCTTCAATTCCTTATATAAACTATTCACAGATCTCATATCTGGTACCCTTTCTCACTGCTTTACCTTCTTACATGTTATTCCTTTGATTCAAAACAAATTAATACTGGTTAAGGTTGAGCTAAGATTATTATTCTAAATTTTAACATCATATTTTGCCAAAGTTTTAACAACATCCAAGTAATGACGGGTGATAAATTGCACGTATAAAAAAGAATCGTGACGTGACGAGAAAAAGGGGTGAATGTTATTTGGGATGGTGACAAAGTAGAATATGGAATTAAAGCGTTGCATATGGTTTGTTGCGGAAGAAGAATGTTGAGTTGGATATTCAAATACTATTGGATGGCACATGATTGGATTGGGACGTCATTTTCTCAGCAAATAAGAATAAATGAGATCAATAGTTAGATGGTCCCCATCTGGTCCTCCCAACATTAAGTTCCATGTCCCAAACCCCTTTTTTTGTTGTCCAAAGAAACCCTTTTAATTCAAAACACACCTCTTTTCGCAAAATGGGACACATGCTGCATCCACCTAATAAACGTTTCATGTGCAGAATTATAACATCAACATCGCTCTTAGATTATTCTTTTCTTGTAAGCCATCAATTTATCATCTCAATTGTCTTGCACTTATGAGATCACACAAGCTAATGTTTAAAGGCTTGTTTAGAATGATTTATAAACAGCTTTTTAATAATAATTTATAAAATATAAAATAAATACGCGATAACAATTTTATCACAATTTACATAAAAACACTTAATGCACTCAAAATAAGCAGGTACAAACAAGCCTTTAAAGCTACCTGCACAACACGCAAAGGGTAACAAGCCCTAAGAGCTACCCGTAAACCACACAGTGTTGACATTCTAACTTGTGTTAATATTCTAGAACAGTGGCTACTGACTAGTGTGCACAAATCCTGTTTTATTAAAGTCATTAACAACTGTTACCATAAAAAACAAAAGTCATCAACAGCTGGCGAGGCATCCTCATTTGCGGTTTGTGAGATTATTAGCAAAATTTAAAATTCTTCGAAAAGTGTTGCCTGCCTACCAAAGCAAAGGATCTTTCCAAAGGAAAGGCAGGATCCCAAACGTCATATGCACACTATCACCTGTTCCAAACACTTGATACGTAGAATGATGAAACCAAGAATTCATAATTAATTTATATTCATCACAGATCTCAGAAACCAAACTTCTTCTGAGAAAAGCATACAATAGTACTTCCTTTGAAATTATCACTCATGTTCTTTCTCAATAGCTATAATTTGATCTGTCAAATACTACAAAAACTCGCAACCATCATATTTCCTTGATATTGTTACTTACAAAATGATAGATCATTAAACGACCTTTAATATGCTGTGGTTATTTCAGGTCAATCATTCTAATTCTCCACCGCTAGCTCAGGAGACAATCCAAGTATTAAACCTGAGCACTGGAAATTCCTTAATCTATTCGATAAAATCTTGTTTACCCTCCATGACCATGAATCAACAGGACACTACTTTTCATCGTTATCATAAACTTGGCATCAAATACCAATCATGTTATACTCCCCTGCAAGCTCAACCATTAGTTACTCCAAGAAGGAGCAGATCATATCATCTCACAAAACTCTAAGGAGGAAACTAAATCTTAAACAGTTCATTTCATCAATAAAAAAAACTAGCAGCCAACTTCAAGAGAATACATTTTCTTAGTGCCTAAGAAATCTGGTGCTCTTACGAAACTCATTGTAATTCTTTAACCTTCACCATGATAAACCTGCAAATAACATGATAAACCCAATCCCTCATTTGGGTTCTTAGCCTCTTACTTCCAACAAATCACAAATTCGATTTTAGCATTTGTTCTTGTGAAGAAACTAGAGGAAATACCCCAAATGAACTCCACAGCAGCAACAACTCGAGAGCTCAAGAACCCATTCAACAGATACCAATAATCAGAAGGATGCCTTGGAAAATCCACTTATTCAGGGCTTGCTAAAAGCAACACAACCCATCATGCTTCCTCCGATGACAACAAGCTTTTTGTGACAGGAAATAGATGCAATATCAAACCTTACTGACCACTGGTACTGCGCAGTTGCAACCTCTTCCTCTCAAGCTCAACCTACAGAGTGTAAATACATAGAATCAACAACAGGCAAGATTCAAGTACTAGAAAGGCATAAATACAAAATTGCTGGCTCTAAATTTATATACCGAGAAGAAGAATGACACCATCTTTCTTCTTACAGTTTAATATCATCCAAGAAGAATTTACAGAACATATATATTAATAGATACCAAAACCAAGATTCGTGAATTCAATATTCGACAAAAATTGGTTTAGGTACCAGAAAAAAGATTGTCAGATACTAGATAGAGGAGAAAAGTTCATGGTGAGCATAAGTTACCTTGCCTAACATACGTTATAAGGCACAATGCCAAACACACATAATGCAGTGCAAAACTTATAATCCACCCGGAAAAAAAAAAGGGAAAAAAAACTGAAGAAAGAAAAGAAAAGCTTCTAACATTAAAGAAAAAGGTTGTTTGAAATGACAAATTAGCGTATCGAATCAAACTACAAGCAAATAGTGAACGTCAGGTATAGTTTTAAGACCATACCACTTTTTTCACTCGCTCATTTGCAGCAGGAGTGCCTCCAATGACAGATTCAGGGAGATATGGGCTGCTGATGCGCACCTCATTCATCACAATTATTACAGTCTTGTCCCAGCGGACTGGAAGCCTGATTAAGTGTTTGTTCCGTCAGTTGAAAAACTCAAGGAAGGCTGATGAGTAGTTCATAAATGATAGCCTCACAAATACATAATTGAGGGATTGGTATCATAAAAAAGTTGAAAAGGTCAAAAAAGCCACCTCTGTTTGAAATTTTAGATACTGCCTTCCCGGTTTGAACTAATGATCCAAGAAGAAATCATTAGACGTAGGAAAGATGGATTAAGCATCTTGCCAACTAAAGTCATTAGTTGGTTAGCTCTTGCTTTCTTTCATATAAAAAGTCAAAACGCCATAAAACTCTGACCACAGAATGATTACATAACTACAGTTGCTCGGTGAAACAGTATCATATTTGTGTGTGCGTGTGTGGGTGCAGGAAATTAACTTGTAATATCATAATTCATTAGACATCAAACTGTAACTTTGATGCAACAGCAAGACAAGAAACTTGAGTCATGTCCAGGATATACTACAATGGCATATGACATAATTTACTACTCACAATTGGAAAAGCACAAAAAGAACCACGGAAACATATCGAGTCTTTGACTAACTAACACCACTAAACGTACAGATGGACCTTTCAGAGTTAGGAATAGATTTATGGATAAAATGAGTGGAGCATCTAAAACATACGGTTACATCAATAATCTAGCATCTATACAACACTAGGCATATGCAAAGTAGAATAAGAAGCTTTTCCCCCTCCTTTTCTTTTGTGTAGAAAATAGGTTTTCTTTGTCTCTTTACTGGGCCATCCTTTAAATTTTAACACCCACTCGTCCCAGGGCCAGAAAAGAAAAAAGCTTTCTTTCCCTGAGACATACAGGCTGCACTGCATGCTGTTCAAATTTTACGGAGATGTTAGAACTTAGAACCTTTTCTTTGGCCAGAACATCAAAAATGTATGATAATTCATGATTTTCCATCTTCTTGCGTGACTTATAAACTTACAATATCCAACAAAACAAAGCTAAAGGAGTTAAACGGGGTAAGACGGTGACTAATTTTTTTTCCAATACTTACGTTTTGGACAAAGCATCAAAAATGCTCTGAGCCTCGCTGGTGACACCAACCCCAATTCTCTCAGCCTCCGCTTCTGCTTGTCTAAAAGAAAAATCATGCTGGCGTAAGAATTATTGTCGTAAAAAACATGGCAAGAATGAAGGTGAGTCGAATTGAATAGGGAATGCAGAAGGCAAAAGAAGAAGAACCTGATGGCGGCTTCTTCCCTGGCTCGAAGAGCAGTGAGGTCAACAAAACAATTGTTTGGATCAAGAGGGTCATCTTCCTGACCCAAAAAGGTGAATTCTTTGATATAATTAGCCTTCAGCATCCTAATATTGCGACGAGGGGCTGATGGCTTGGAGGGCTCCTGAAGAACGAGGATGTTAGAAGGGCGATCAAATGTGATGACCTGAGCTTCAAATTCATCACCAAAGGTGGTCTTGATCGATAGCAAGCACCCCACGCCCAAGTCTTCAGGGTTGCCGCCATCCATCGCCATCGTCCTCTGCAGTCACCGGAATCTGGGAATCTGAATCGCGGATGTGGTTTTATTACATCACTCCATGGAGCCGCTTCACTCCGGTGGGCGGGCTGCACCAGAATTCGGGTTTGCATATTGGGATCTTGGTATGGGCTCGTATAAAGCATTGATATTTGGGCCGGACGTCCATTTATTTTGGGCTTTTAATTAAATGGAAAATATGACCCAAGAAAAAACCTTATAAACGATTTGCGCTTTCAATCCAAGGCACTTCCTTCTTTGCTTTTTTTTTTTCCTGCCATCACCAACTCCAAGGCACTTCACATGAAAAAAGCCCATTAAAACCAACATTTCGATTAGGGGTATTCATACTTGACTCGTCTCGGTCCCGGTCTTATTAGAACGGGACGAGTCCGTTCGAAATTTTTTGGAACGAGACAAATAGGACGGGACAGGACACCGGACGGGGTCGTCCTGTCCTGGTCCCGTCCTGATATATATATTTTAAATATCTTATATTATATGTTAAAAAGTTAAAACAAATAAAATATGAACCGGAAGCCCTTAAGCCCCCCTAACCATCTGAGTATCTGAATTTGACCTGACCGTCTTGCCTCTCTCGGTCTCTCCAGTCTCCATTCCAGTATTCAATTTTCAGTTTTCACTTTCGTTCCCTTTAGATTTCAGACAGCGACGGCCGATGGAGCATTGAACCGTGTCCGGTGTCTCGCACTCTCACCAATCGGCAGTCGCCTCTCAAAGTCTCAGTCTCCGCTCTCAGCTATTCTCTGATCTGCGAAGTGCGAAAGAGGCCGTCGACTATACTCACTCTGCCTCTCTCGTCTCGGCTTCGACTCTTTACTCACGGAGTCACGGTCCCTAGTCCATTGAAGTTGCAACCTTCGCAGCTTCTCTCCAGCCCCCAGTCCATCGTCGGCATCAGTCTTTGTTGTAGAGTGTAGATTGCAGACTGGCCTCATCTCGTCTCCAACCATTCAATTTCATGCTTTCTCTGTTTCTTATACCCGTGAGTTTTCATCCATGCTTGTTGATTTCATCTTAATATCCAGCACGATATTTTGCCTCTTTGTATGAATATGGACTATGGATTGGCTGATTGGGATTTGTCTGATATTCTTCACAAACGAGATAGAGAAAAGAAAATCTTTTGTGAAATGAGTAAAACCCACCGAGTTAATTTGCCTCATTCGCTGGTTCTCTGAATTTTTCTGGTTGTTGAATTCTTTTATAATTTGTATGTATCATTCGGTTGATGGTTTGTGAAGTAGTAATATTAATATATATAATTGTAGATTCAGTGTTTGATTTCTAGATGATGCTATTAAAACTGTACGAAAATTTTACTATAAGTTCTTGAAAGCTAATTGAGCCTTTATGATCATTTTGAAGAACTTCTCTTTGTGAAGAAAGATGAACTCTGTCACAAACACTGCTGAAGGAAACACTCAAACAACTAAAGAAAACACTGAAACACAGTCACAAACTGCTGAAAGAGGTTCAGGACAAGCAGATAATGAAGATCAAATCACTACATCACAAGGTGAAGAAGAGGGGGATGAATCAAATGTTGATGGATCAAGAAAGAGAAAAAAATCTTTAGCTTGGTTACATTTTGAGAAGTTGCCTCCAGAGCAGTGGAAAAATGGAGAACCAAGGGCAAAGTGCAAGTATTGCCCAACGACAATTGCCTGCCATCCTACCACACATGGGACAAGTGGACTTGTTAAACATTTACAGAGGTGTCTTAGAAATCCCCATAAGGCTAACAAGTTGAAGCAATGCATGTTCTCAACAGGGGCTGGTGGTAAAAGTTTGACTCATCATGTCTTTAGTCAAGACTTGTGTAGGAGAGCTCTAGTCAAATTTTTAATATTGGAAGAACTGCCTTTTCAAACAATGGAGGGTGAAGGTTTTAAAGAGCTATTAAGGACACTAGAACCTCGCTTTCAAATTCCCTCAAGAGCAACAGTGACTAGGGATTGTTTAAAGCTGTATTATGAAGAAGCAAGAAGGTTGAAAAGGTATTTTAAAGCTTTAAATGCTCGTGTTTCTCTTACCACTGATACATGGACTTCCAATCAGAATACCAACTATATGTGTCTAACTGCTCACTGGATTGATGATCGTTGAGCTTACCAAAGGCGAATCTTGAATTTTTACGTGGTTGAAAACCATAAAGGTGATACTATTACAGCAGAGATTGAGAGATGCTTGTTATTCTGGGGCATTGATAAGTTGTTTACTATAACAGTGGATAATGCTTCTTCAAATGACATTGCAATATCAACTTTGAAAGATGTGTTGAAACATTGGAATGGTCTAGTACGTGATGGAGAGTTCTTGCACTTGCGTTGTTGTGCACATATTCTTAATCTTATTGTTTCTGATGGTGTGAAGGAGATGCATAAGTGTATTGAAGCCATTCGGAATGCCATTAAATATGTAAGATCCTCACTTGCAAGGTTTCGTAAGTTTAAGGATCTAGTGGAAAAAATGAAAATTGATTCGAAGAGTCTATTAAGCATGGATTGCCTAACAAGGTGGAATTCAACCTACATGATGCTGGAAAATGCTATTAAATTTAGCAGTGTTTTTGAAAGAATGGCAAAAGAAGATAGGGATTACACAAACCACTTCTTGAAGAAGAATTTAATTGGTCCTCCTGATGCATTTGATTTGAGACAAGCTAAAGTCTTCTGTAGCTTCTTGTAAGAGTTCCATGACATTACATTGCAATTTTCTGGATCAACCACTGTCACCTCAAATATATGCTTCCAAAATATAGTTGATGTGTTTACCATTCTAAATGAACATGCAGAGGATCCTAATTCTTTGCTATGTGAGATGGCTATGAGGATGAAGATTAAGTATGATAAGTATTGGGGTGACTTGCAAACTCTTAATCCTCTTTTGGTGATAGCAGTGGTACTTGACCCAAGGTATAACATGAAATATCTCACCTTTGTCGTTGAGGAGATGTTTCAAAGCCAAGCACAACGTGAACACATGTCAAAAATAGTCTCAACCGTCTTGTATCAGTTGTATGATTGTTATTCGAGTGGGCTTGACACATCTCAGTTTCATATGCAAATTCAAAGACAAAGGAATAGACAAGTTGTAAGTGAAACTATTAGTGCATCTACCTGTGCTTCAAAACAATTAGGCTCAACTATAACTTTTGTGCATCCTAAGCAATCAGCTCAGAGGTTTGTTGCCTGATTTGAGACTGAGACTCAATCAGACAAGTTGCAGAGGTGGAGAAGTATTTGCAAGCTGAGTTAGTTGAAGCACATGAGCTTGACTTTGATATTTTGGCCCGGTGGAACCTTAATGCTATAAAGTACAGAGTCCTTTCAATGATTGCACGTGATGTTTTAGCCATGTCCGTGTCTACCGTGTCTTCAGAATCTGCATTTGGCACGGGGGTCGTGTGATCGATGACTTTAGGAGTTCTTTATCCTCAAAAATGGTTGAGGCATTAATTTGTACACAAAATTGGCTATCTCCATCAACAGTGAAGCTGAAAGGACTAAACATTGATGACTTCAATGAAACTGAGATTGTGGCACAGGATAATATCTATCTTTTAGTAGCGTTTGATTGAAGCCAAATTTTTTTTTAACATTTGATATAATTCTCTCATTTTGGTTTGCTGTCCAAATGGGCAACTTCCAAGCCATAACATTAAAAAACGTGGATTTTTTTTCATATAGAACGTGGATTTTTTTATAGTAGTAGCATATAGAACATGGATTTTTTTATTTAGGAAATAAGGTAACTTCCAAACCACCAAAGCTGTGAAAGTATTAATCAATAGGGATATCATTTCCCTGTTCTTTTTCTGTTGGCATATTTTCAGTTCTGAAATAAGAGGGATAGCCCTCTCCAACGTTAGGATTAGTTGCTGATTTATCGTTGATTATTATCTTTGGATTTTCAACTGATTTTCTCTCTGTAATTTATTATAAAAAGGCTATATGGCTGCTGGAATAAACATGACAATTCTTAAGAGAGTATATTTATATTGGAGATCCTCCATCGGTCCTTTAGAGAGAGTGCTGTGAGATCCTTGCTGCTCTTTTTATTGGAATTCTTTGCTGTTACTTTGTTTTTCTTTATTTCCATTAGATTAGGTCCCTACCATTAGCTATTTTTCAGGACTTGCGAAATAACATTAAAAAAAGCAATAACTATAAAGGTTAGTTATGGACTTATGGTCATTATATATTTGGATGCCTTCTCAAGTCAGTGGCACCGGTTGAAATGTTGAATAATTGAATGGTTTTCCAAATCTAGGCATTCCTTCATTTTTCATTTTCATAATTTGTTACGGACAGTTTTAAAATTCCTTTTCTATCTGATTTATTAACTTCATATTAACAATTTTTCTTTTCTTTGTCTTCATTTGTAGAAGAATCAGCTGCCTGAAATTTATTACATGAAGAGGAACAACCAAATAACCCGTAAATGATGGATTGTGTGCTGCTGGATGGATTTGGTTTTGTTATTTTCTGGCTTATTTTTTGAATGAGTGTTTTTGATGATGTAGTGTTGTCATTTGATGATGGACTTATTGCCTCATTGGACATTTGGACTGTTTGTTATGTTTCTTTACGGTTTGAGACCATTTTCTAGTCAATGGATTTGGTTTTTTGTTATTTTCTGGCTTATTACTTGTTAGTTGGTTGTGTTTTGACCAGCACGTTGAAGAGGATGACAGGGAAGGGATCGGTTGATTTGCTTTTGACCTGTTAGCTTGTCATTTGGTTTCTTTTCCCTTTATCTTTTATAGTGAACTATTTCTCCTGGCTCATTTTAGTTAATGAGGTTCCTTTGCTGGTAAAAAAAAAGAAAGATATAAAGCTGTCTGTTATTATTTAGATTGTAAAATTGTTGATATATGAAAAGTATATCTCCTATTGAAGGCCCAACTCATTTAAAATCTCCTATTAAAAGGCCCACAGCATTTTTAAGAGGCCCACAGCATTTTTAGAAGGCCCACAACATTTTTTTAAAAGCCCTAAAGTGTTTCTTAGAAGCCCACAGCGTTTTTTCAAAAAACAAAAGGTATCAAGACGTCCCGGTCCCGTCCCATCCCCGATCGAGACCGGGACAATATCGGGACGGGACGGGACACGGGACAAATTTCTTGTCCCGTTACTATTCATCGGGACGGGTCCGTTCCGATCCCGTCCTGTCCCGTGAACAGCCCTAATTTCAATCTTGCAGCATCCACTAGTGGGCTGCATTTCATTCCTGACTTTAGATTCTAAGGTGTTTGGATAAGAACAAAATAATAATTTTAGAAGTGTTTTTACGATATACGAAACCCGTTAAAACCAACATTTCGATCTTGTAGCAACCACAAGTGGGCTACGTTCCATTCTTGACTTTAGACTAGGGTGTTTGGATAAGAACAAAATCATAGTTTCAGAAGTGTTTTTACGGTATACGAAACAAATATGTGGAGGAATTTACTTCGATTTGTGAAAAAATGCTTCTGAAAAGTAATTATGGGATTACCCAAATACCCCCGAATAAACTCAAGACTTTGTCTTGCCCAAATAAAAAAAAAACCAACATTTTGAAATAAAAACTCATAAATTTCAAACGTTTTATTAAATTTATTCCTTCTTTAATTCTGTTACATACTTTTTATTCCAAAAATTTACCTAGATAATTTTTTACACGCAATAAAATTCAATATTTTATCCCACATGAAACAAGATTTTTTTTTTCAATAAAAGGGGTCCCCACCACAAATATTACTATAGTCAAAGAAAATAGAAAAGGAATCTTCAAGGTGAGTAGTATAATATGCATAAGGGCCTGTTTGGCTAGCCTTCAAAATCATGGTTTTGGTTCCAAACTTGCCAAACGGGGGAAGAAATTGACAAACCATGGTTTCAGAAGAAATGAATTCATTTTGCTTCTGGCTCAAATTAGAAAGTATGATTGTATCTGTTAGAGTAGATCTCAACAATAATATGACTTTAACATCCCTCAATTATTTTTTTATAAACATATTTAATCTCATAGCTTATAAATATATACACTATTAATTATTTATTAATTATGTTGGTAAAAAAATATATTATTAATAATTTTATTCTTTCAAATTAAAATATATTATAAAATCTATCTTTTATGTAACTATTATATTCACTTATGTTTTTTTTAATAATTTGTGTATATAAAAAGTGCTTCTGATAACAACTATCCAAACAGTCTCACTTCTCAGAATCACTTTTTCACAAAAATTTATTATCCAGAAACTATTCTTCAAACTATGATTTGGTTTCATCCAAACACTCTCTGAATCGATGCACCCAAGTGGAGCTGAGCCTATTGCCCCTTGCTATATTTAGATCTGCGAATGCCATAGTCCAAACAAATAGCCAGCCACACTTTTTTATTTATTTATTTATTAACCATATCATCTTACCTCCTGTCCTGAATATAACGTACCCTTCAACGTGATATCTTTAGACTAGAAGTTATATTTGTTAGCAGATATACTTTATCTGATTCTAAATATAAGACCAATTTACATTACAAATATTTAGGACTGGAGGAGCACATTACAACCAAAATTTTATATTTAGAATTAGAAATAATATAAGATACAAACAATATTATATGTGCGCGCTGAGCCTGGGTGTAATAGGTGCTCAAATTATTCACCGGACACCGTTCCAATGCCTAGGAATGAAAATTTTATGCAAGATATATGAAAATACCACATTAAATAAGACTATAAGGGTATTACGAGAATGAAACAACTAAAATTTAATACAGAATACAAACATATTGAGCTTTATAATAGGATTTTTTTCAATTTTAAATATAAGACAAATATTTGGGAGCCAGAGAGTATTTTATACTACGAAAGAAAGAAAGGGAGATGGACTTTTTAACATGCATATGCATTTATAACCTCAGGCGACGAGGCAACGCGGGTGTCCTTTCCCGTGTTCCTCCCAGTTTTCTTCTTTCTTCCTTTTAGGTGGCACGTCTCAGTAAAGTGGTTCAACCACTTGGCCATGCTTTAAATTCTCTTTCCATTAATTAACCTTCAAATTTAATCTCAAGTATAACACATGAAAATAAAGTTATTACAATTATGGGCGAACATCACCGTCAACTTCAATAATGAACGTGAGTCCCCAGTCCGATATTTTGATGCCAAGTGGGCAAATTTTCTTAGATTTGTTTTTATACGTAAGTCCAGTGAATCTCAGTTTAATAAAATGAATCAAACTTTACAGCTTTTTAGTTCAGGATTGGATTAAGTAACCCAAACCCGACGGAAATGTGTGTGTTTTTCAGTATCAATTCCCCCCCTCCCCCCTCTAAAGAAGTAGTACATATAGCATATACATGTCTTTCACTTCTCCCTTCGCAGTTTCACTTTCGGAAGAGATGTTTCTGTGTGATTAACTCAGACGGATAGAGAGAGAGGACAAGAGTGGAAGAACAATGCTTCTGCGATAAAAAGATAGAACATATGTAGCGGAATTGCTGTTACTGTGAATCTGGAGCTCATTCGCTTTTCAGCGCCACCCTAGAGAGTAGAGAGACACCAGAGACCCACATTAAAAAGTTTGAAAAATTGCAGAAGAAAAGGGGAACGAAGCAAGAAGGCCTTGCCTTGGCGAAAAATGGTAACACTCAACTCATTCAAAGATCAAACCCTTCATCTCACCAAGAAATTGCTTCCATGGGCTCTCTATATTCTGCTTCCCATTGCTATCCTTCGCTTATTCTTTTCCCCTCTTCCTTTTCTGCCTTCTCCAACCACCGACCTCCCTCACTCCACCCTCTTCATCGCTTCCTCCCACTCTCCTCCTCCTCCACCACCATCTTCTTCTTCAGGTACAACTATTTCATCATTCATGGGTTTCCCCCTTCCTTTTTCTGTTTGTCTAAGATTCTAATCAGAAAGATGTTTGTTTTTTTGGGGACTATATTCATTGCAGAAGCAGCTAGAGCTGAGCAAGCTTCGATTTTTCCATGTGACTACTTCAATGGCAAGTGGGTTCGTGACAGAAGAGGTCCTCTGTATAATAGTTCGACTTGTGGTACAATTAAACAAGGCCAGAACTGCATCGCCCATGGAAGACCAGATCTGGGTTATCTTTACTGGAGATGGAAACCCACTCAATGTAATCTCCCCAGATTCGAACCTACAGCTTTTCTGCAACTTCTCAAGAACAAACACGTAGCTTTCGTCGGAGATTCCATGGCCAGAAATCAGCTAGAGTCCCTTCTTTGCCTTCTTGCCACTGCGTCAACCCCTAACCTCGTATACCGAAACGGTGACGACAACAAATTTCGCAGGTGGTTCTTCCCATCTCACAATGCGAGTCTCTCAGTTTACTGGTCTCCCTTTCTTGTGAAAGGTATTGAGAAATCAAGCACAGGACCAAATCATAACAAGCTATATCTGGATATTGTTGATGAGAGATGGGCAAGCGAAATGGATCAAATGGACATGATTGTGCTGTCTATTGGGCATTGGTTCTTGCATCCTGCCGTTTACTACGAGGCTGATTCGGTCTTAGGTTGCCATTACTGTCCTGGTCTGAACCACACAGAGATAGGGTTCTACGATGTGTTAAGAAAGGCCTTAAGAACTGCCCTTAATAGCATCATTGAGAAGAAATCAGCAAAAAGGGAAGAAATTGATGTGACAGTGACAACATTTTCGCCTTCACATTTTGAAGGTGAGTGGGATAAAGCAGGCGCTTGTCCAAAGACTCAGCCTTACCGAAAGGGAGAAAAGGAACTAGAGGGAATGGATAGTGATATGAGAAAGATTGAGATAGAAGAAGTGGAAGCTGCAAAAGAAAAAGCTAAGAAGAATAACCATAGAGGGTTTAGATTAGAAGCATTGGATGTGACAAAATTAGCATTGATGAGACCAGATGGGCATCCAGGTCCTTATATGAATCCTTTTCCGTTTGCAAATGGAGCTCAAGAACGTGTTCAGAATGATTGTGTTCATTGGTGCTTGCCAGGTCCTATAGACACATGGAATGAAATTTTTCTGCAAATGGTGAAGAAATGGGAGAATGAGGACAGTATGAAATGAGGTATTCTATTTCTCGCTTGTTTGCTGATTTGGCTCTGTGATTATTTATGAATGCTTTCCTCCATGTAGGGGAGAGGCAATTCTTTTTTTCTTGGGAGTGAATGATTCATTATTGGTTTATTGATTCCTCCGTATGGTGGAAAGGAAAGGAAGAGGATTTGGAAACGCCTGTATTTGATTTTAAAGAGGGAAATTGGAAATGGAAAGGTAGGAACCAGTTTCTACCAGGAGGCAATGATAGTATTTTCGGAATTTATTATGAGGTTGGTTGGCTGATCTCCAAACGTACAAAATGCTTTAAATTAGGAATGTGAAGCTGGATTGCTGGAAGTTGCCCAAAGTGCTTGGCCAATTTTTCTCTGTCTTGCTTCATTGGGTAGTCGTCAATGTTGGGTACTGTTCGTTTTACTCACAAAAATTCCTCCAGGTTGTAAAGTACCCAGATTTCACAGGAGCTTAATCTGCTTAAACCTTAAAAAATTTATTTTGCACAGACTAACTAGAGATATTGTGCAAAATATTAAATTTTTCTTTCTTTTTTGTTTTTTGGTGTTTTTACATATTGTAGTTTTCCATATATTTGTGGGGGCATGATGGTAAAATTCAATTTCCCAAAAAATGAGAATGGATTCCAATACTTGGCGCAGGAATGTAAAAGAGATTCTCATCTCTATTTCTCGCTTTCAATTCCAAAATTATGGGGAAATGGATTGAAGGAAAAAAAATATTTATACTTTGTACAGCATGAGAAAAGTTCTCTTAGTTTTAAAAATAATTCTTATTGTTTTTAAAATAATATTTGTCCTTACTAGTAATTGTAAGATTTAAGCAAATTTAATTACGCACGCATTAAATCCTTGAAACTACCAGTTATTATTCTGCTTTTTTTTGTTTTCCTGCTGTCTATGCCCAATAATATCACACGAATTTGGATTCTCTTGATATACATAATTCTAATTTCTACCCGTTGAATTAATCTGGCGTTTTACATTGATATAAAAACTGATTTTAGTAATTTAGCAGCCTGAGAATCGAGACTGTTTAGTTAAAGTTTTCTGAAGACAAATCCTTTATGCATCTCCAAAGATGAAAAATTATATTGCTTTTGATTTCTTTAAATTAAACTAAAATATTTATATTTTCTTTTTTTAAAATAAAACAATGATCACAATTATAATTTAAACTATATGTATTTTTTTAAAAAAATATTAAAGCAGAATATAATCAAATCGAAATTGTATAATTATGTATAAATTGACAGTATCCATATCAGTCATGAATTTTTTTTTTTCTCCGCCAACGAGACATCAATCTATGTATATAACAAAATCAAGTTCACAATAAAGCATAAACTATGGTTGGGGGTGAAAAAAAACATAACTGTGGAGTTAATAATCAGCTTAGATTCGTGCTTTAGATTATGAGCAGGGAAGGCATATCTGATATCTCTTCCGTTTTTCGATAACACAAAGAAAGGTATATCTCTGCTTAACGGAAGAAGAGAGCAAATACATCTCTGATGAAGATATGCATGTTTGCGTAAAGATATCTGTGAAGATGGGCCGTATAGTCACCTGTCTGGTCATAAGTAGGACTTGGATGGATCCAGTGTCGAGTTAAATTAGGTGGTTGGATTTCGTTCACAACCCTGCTTTCCAGTTTCACCACTTCTCTTTTATCCCAAGATGACCCATGAATGGTGACATACGTTTCTGCTGCTGTTCTCATGACTTCGCATCCTTTCTGAAATCTAATTCTGCTACCCCTGCAAGCAACATTCCCATTTCACTCCATGGCTGCAGCTATTTCACTCTCCCTTCCTTTGGATCCACAAAATCTTCTTTGTCCCTGTCGCCTCCGACCCACTACTCTCTCTAGACCTCTGCAATCTCGTTTCTTTACTCGGTTATCACCCATCTATAAATACCCACTTACTACGTTCCATAGAGAGGGCTTGTGCAGCTTCAAGTCTTCTTCCTCTTCCTCTTCCTCCCACTCTTCAACAACACCCACAACCCCAACCTCTTCGCACCACGATGACCCCTTTCGCACCGGGCGATTTCTGAGTAATGAAGAGCTCGAAAAGCTCAGATTCCTTCAAAATTTCCTATATTTTAAGGAATTGGAATCTGGGTCTTTGTGGGTTCGGGTAATGGGGGCGGAGGAAATGGACATGACCATTGGGTTGCTTGCCGAATCCTTTGCTGAGTCAATGGTATTACCCGTGGGTTATGTTTCTGTGTTGAAGTTTTTGGTGAGGCAGTACTTGATGGAGAGAAAAATTCAAATGCCGCACATGGCTACACTTATCGGTTTTTACAAGGAAACTGGGGAAGGTGGTGAAGAACAAGAAGTGCAGTTGGCAGGGACCGTGGAGGTTTGTTTTAACAAGATGGGTGCCAATGCTTCTCCTCCAACACCAACGCCTCCCAAAGATTCGCCTTACATAAGTAATATGGCCGTAAAAATGTCTTTTAGGAGGTATTCTTTGCCTTAATAGTTTATCAATTAAATAAGTTACCTGTTGGGTCTCTTTTGGATTAATGCTCTTTGTCGAATTTATCACTGTCACAGTATGTATGCTTGATCCTTGTCTAGAAAAAGGGATTTTTTCGATTTTTCTTCTCTGGGGCCTTCTAAACTTCCGACTGCAATAATTTAAAAGCGTGCTGGGCTTATACTTTGTTATTGGAAAATCGGTATCCCGGCTCAGACAAGGCTTAAATTGGTGAAGTGATGAACTAAGTCACTTGATTGATAGTGATTCATACTGTCACGGTTGGAAACATTGAACTGGGCAGAATCTTGAGGGCTTGTTCGTTGATTTATCTTGTGCAACACATAGGCCTAACAGTCGTATATGGAAAAGTTAGTTTGTTATTGTCAGCTTAAGATGCTATTTTGTGTCTTCTACTTGACTTCTGTAAATCCCTCCATGCACTGTAATTTGAAACCCCCCTCCCCCAAAATACACACAAAAAACCCCAAATGAGATAGTTTGAATACGTTCTAATCATTAAAATCTTTATCGAATCGTGAGAACTTGAAATAACTAGTCTTTCAGTCCATGCATTTATTCATTGAGTTTATCTTATATCTCCATCCTCAACTCGTCTTTCAATCTATGCATTTTTGTATGTCCATTCTCCAATTCTAACTTGGGTGTACTTGTCTGCGGACAGATAGAGGACAAAAACAAGTATGACTTGCTCCTGGCTTAGTTCCAGATGTGTCTTTTATCTGTAGCAATTCGAAATTTGAATTAGGAAACATGCAATTCAAACAATAAAACTGCTCATGCCATCACCCACTATGGTGATAGTAATATCATTATCGCAATCATCAAATGGCATCATCCCCAGGGTCATGCCTTTGTCAGAGTATCAGCCCACATGTATATGATTTCCTGTTTCCAAATGTTGGATTTCAAGAAGTTGAGTAAATTTGCAATTCCATGGTCGTGCTGCCACTTTTGCATGTGATGATGTGATCCCTTTAAATTGAAAACAATAGATAATGTAAGCAAAAAGCCCGAGATTCTTGTCATCAATGTCATCCTTCTTTCTTCTTTCTTTTTTAGATGGTTTATTCTGTAATTTTCAAATCAATGTGTTGTTTAATGAGTCTTATACATTCCATAGCATGTACACTCTGAACAAGAAATAGGAATTTTTTTTAGTTTTAATTTTTTGTTTGAATTCATTTCTGTACCATTTCTATCAACTTTGTTCCACGATGATACACATGCTGTGGAACCTAGAACATAATGTTATTCTCAAAAGTCCCAAGCAGTCCTCCTTTTAAACCCTTTAGTTCGTCTGATTAAAGTTTTGGATGACACTGTATTTGAAGTTTGCATCCTAAGTTTTTTTGTTTCTGATATTTCCTTGCAGGAGGGGCATTGGTTGGCATCTTCTAAAGGCAGGCGAGGAGCTAATTTCTCAGATGAGTTCCTCAAGAGAAGTTTATTTGCATTGTAGAATGATTGATGCAGCTCCGCTTAACATGTATAAAAAGGCAGACTACAAAATTGTAAAGACAGATAGCGTATTAGTTCTGCTGATGTTGCAGAGACGCAAGCACCTGATGCGCAAGAAACTTCCTCTCTTGAGTAACCCTCCAGAGTCAGCCGCATCAGAATCTGATACAGAAACGTTTGCATGAGGACAGGCAAGGGTTTAAATTATTTGGTTAAAGCCATACTGTCGTTGTCAAATTTTGGTTGGAAGCTCTGTTTCTTTTTTTTTTTTTTTTTAATTGAACTCCCTCAGTATTATATGCTTGAATGTGCCCTGTGATAGATTTTCTTATTTCCGTGTTTTTCATATTTCAGAAGCAGTAGCAACAATCATCATGGTGGGTTGAATTATGAATAGGGATCAAATAAGTGGTTCAGGGATCCCTACCTGAATCCCCCTATGTATAGGGCTGAGAAACTATGTATAGCAGGTAAATCACATTTAGTCTTCTGGGTTTCCTCCCCTTTAGTTTGGCGAATTACACTTTCTTCTTAAACAGTCAATATTACTTAACTTTTTAATACAAAATAATAGGTTTTATGGTGTTGATCATCTTGTAATGTCCCTCCTCAAAAAAATATAGTAATTGAGTTAGGGACATGTTTCTTGATGAAACTCAGTAGTACTAGAGCGCATGAAGTATGGAAAAGCTAATCACCTTGAATTTTTTTTGATGCAATCAAATATTGATATTATAAGTATGTCTCTACATTTGAGTAATGTTCTTCCAATCTGTGGAATCAAGTCAGTAATTCCAACGCAGCAAAATGGTAATGTTAGTAGATGGACATTTTCCAGAAAAGTGGTTTGTTCTTGTATTGGTCCGGTGGGTACTATTGTCCTGTGACAGAGGGATGGGAGTGGGAGAACAGATGTGGAGAGGCTCCTTTAGGAACATCCAGATTAGCAATGCATCATATATAATTATGCCAAATACTTCTTCCTGGCCATAATTTAGCTTCTTGTCTGAATGATAGCTGTCTTTATTCTCCATAGAAAACCATCATTTACCTGGTTGCTAAACATCGGATTTCACTAGATCATTCTCAAACTATGCATAACCATTGCCAAGCCTTTTGAATTAGTATAGATTATCATTTGCAGCTCTTTTACACATTCTGCCATAGAAGGCCTCTCACTACTGTCAGTACGGATACATCGTGATGCAAGATTGGCAAACATAGCTACGGACTCGATGGTATAAGAATTTCGAGCCATTTCTGGGTCTATCACCTTGCGGAGCCTCTTGCGGTCATTCAGTATGTTCCTCACCTGTATGTCAATGTGAACAATATCAACCCGAACCCTTTTAAAACATGTAAACCAGAATGTTTTACGATGAGAATGCAGACAATTGCCACTCATATTTAGGGATGCAAGGACAAAATTGGGTTACAAAGGAAAGAAAGTCACGAAAAATAGCTAGTTATTACTAATGGCAAATGTTGTGGAATGAATGAAAGTAATAGCGCCGATGACTCTCTAGGTTGATATGTTGCTTTGACATCCTCAAGGAAACATTCAGTATGTATATTTTCTTTTACCTGTAATACAAGGTTTTGATCATTTGGACCTTGGTTTAAATCTATAGCTCGACGTCCTGTCAAAAGCTCAAGAAGAACAACTCCAAAAGCATAAACATCACTTTGTAGAGTGAGTTTCCCCGTCTGTTGTCAAAGGAAATAAATTAATTGTTAGATGCTGTCAAATCTTGGGTGGCAATATCTGGACACAATACTGCTTCATTGTCCCTGGACATGTAGGCTTTTGAGTGATAGGGCAATGTTATGTTTCATTGAGAGAAAAAGAAATAGATAGGTAATGTCAAGTTTACTACCATTACGTGATAAAAGGTACCACTTGTCGTCGCGCCACTTATTTGGATTGTGTTCAATGAAGCTCATATTCAAGCATCACAACAACTGCATGAAACTTTAAACTGGAATCTTGATTATTAGATTTTGGTTGTGTACTGTGAACTACTTAATCAATGATCAGCCAAGTTTTGATAACATGCCTAAAAACCTTTGACGTAAAATCTTGAGCTATTTAAAAAGGTTCTGAAAATTGTCTCTTTTCACTCTGAGTCTCTGAAACAAGGGGATTTTCCACAAACCTTTATTGAAGGCTTTTATTATTATTTTATCCATCTAAGGTCTGAATCGATGGCATTGGAGGGGCACTTGTAATGTAAAAAGAGAAATGAACAAAGCAACTTGGTTTCAAGATCGTCTACAAACAAGATACATAAGGTCCTCGTTGCTTAGACGTGATTTTGTTTAGTCCAAACTGATGTGTTGAGTGAGACATATTTAAGCTCGTCATTCAAACTGACTATTTCCTACGAATTGAAAACACCATTACAAAGATAACCTACTTGGTAAAAAGACTCATAAATTAGAGATTTTGTGGGTATAAAATTTCTCTGTGCCCCTACTTTATAACAACAACAAGCCTTATCCCACTAGATGGGGTCGGCTACAAAAAAAATTGTTGAGTAATAATTACAAAGGCAAAAGATTGAGTGAATGGGAACGTCTTCCCTTGCCCATGCTAGAGGGGAACTGTTAACCTGACTTATCTGCAATAGTGAAAAACTCCTGTTATTATTTCATCCTTATACTTCTGAAGTGGACCGCAATTTTAAAAGTTGACCTATTTCTGCTCTCTATCAGTTGGCGTAATGTATTGGCATTGAGGTTCGGTTTGGTTTTGCTGGCTAATACTTAAGTTGGCACTGTATTTATAGTGGACTTAATCAACACAGCCGCGATTAACAGTCGTTCCCCTATTGTTCATTCATTGATAAAACTCACTTAGAGAAGTTTGGAAATGTTGATATACAGCCTTAATCAGTTATGATGAAACGATGAAAAACTGAATTCCTGGATATTCTGTGCATATAATCCTGTTTTGAGGCATCATTAAATTCCTAAAGATATGATTTAGATGTGGGAAGTCTATTGCATTACAACTATTAATGAGTATTTTCCCCCTTTAATGTTATGTATTGGAGTATAGTTTCATCCTCAATTGTAGGTCTCACTTAAAAAATCCAGCAGAAACTTAATCTAAATAGTGTTGAATCAAGTGGAGAAATGCATAGAAGCATACCGATGTATACTCAGGGTCAAAGTAACCAAATGTCCCAAGCACTCTGGCGGTCACGTGTGTCTCCTGTCCCTCTGGCATTAACTTAGCTAGCCCAAAATCAGATATCTACCAAAAGAAAAAGAAAAAGAAAACAGCTAATTAATTTTATCTCGGTACATAGTATTTTTAGGAATATTGCGAGTCGCTTTGGTTGGGAGCGTATCTATACCTTGGGTTCAAAATTGGCATTTAAGAGAACATTGGTGGATTTGAAGTCTCTGTGAACAATAGGAATTCCAACAGCAGAACTTGAATGGAGATATGCTAAACCTCTTGCTGCTCCCAGTGCCACTTTGAGTCTTTGAGGCCAATCCATTTTTCTCTGCCCAATTCCTAAAATGAGGCATGCATTAGTAGGAGTTTTATATTAGGATTTTTGACATGAATATGGGTTTGAGCACATGACACACCATTCAAATGATCTTGCAGGTTCCCGTTATGCATATATTCATACACCAGGAACCGGTGCTTTCCATCAGCGCAATAGCCTATTAGAGAAACAAGATTCGGGTGGTCAAGTCTACTCAAGATGTCAACTTCAACACGGAACTCTCGCTCTCCTTCTGCTTCTTTAATTGCTGGCAGATCCATTTTCTTGATTGCTACAACCTGTAGAGGAAGACAATAACATGTTAACATGTCTTCGCATGTTGTTACAAAATCTTGTTGGTTTACTTTGCCATGAATTACTGTTTTCTACTGTTTATATTAAATGGTGGTATCACTAACAGTTTAAAAGCTCTAAAGCCCGATTTGTTTATTGAATCAGTATTAAAAGAAGTTCAGGAATCATGATGAGTTTCCTCTAGCTAGGAACTTATATCCAGAAAATATTACCTCTCCAGAACGCAAAGCGCCTCTGTACACTCTGCCAAATCCTCCCTTTCCGAGCAGATTATCATCACTGAATGATCCTGTTGCCTCTTCCATCTCCTTGAGTGTGTATACTGATGACCCATGCTGCCTTTTTGTGGGCCGGGTTGCTTGTTCTTCAAGTTGCCAAAACTCCAGAGGTTTGTAAATCCCTGAAATGAGTATCTAAATGTTAAGGTTGTTGCACAAAGAAACAACACTCTTGGCACAAGTAGCATTAGAAAAAGAGTAGAAAAACAGGAGAAAACAGAAACATACAGGGGTCTGTATGGTCTTGAGACTTGCTTCTGCGACGCTTGTTCCAGGCTGAGACCAACCCAAATGGCATGATGAAACTACCTTCAATGTTTCTTTCTCTGTTTGAGGGTTTTACCTGCAGATTCTAACAGAGGAAACAGGTAATTGGATGGAGATGTTTAATCCCATAACACCCTCATTGATACAAGTAAGATCACACTGGAATGTTTTACATGCGTTTTGGAGAATATCCCATATAAGGATTTGGATAGCAAGGGAATAATTTAAGGAGTACGTATGGAGCAAGTGAAGTTCAATTAGAATAATACTCAACAACAAATCTCACAACAACCTGGCATTTTTTCTGGGACAGAAGCAGCACAAGGAGGAAGAGAGAGAAACAGAGATATGTGCTTTAAGGAAAAGAGAAGGCCTGAGAAAGGAAAAGTAGGTATGGGGCTTGCTTACCTATAGGTGGTGGGAAGAAGTGGTGGTGGGCTGTGCTTATAGTATGAAAAGGAAATGCAAACTGCAACCTCATTCTCCATTATCATCACTTATTACGTCTTACCGTTTACAAGGAAATTGAAAATGAGGTGAGGGTTGGCAGGGCCTTTTCATTTGTTCTCTTCACTGCAGAAAAAAATTATATTTGAAAACACCGAGATCTTGGTTTAACTAATGGGAATTGTATTAACTTAATCAGAAGTCTTGAGTTCAAATTTTAAGAGCGTAGCCGTATTAAATACTAGTTCACAGATTTTTGCGGTTTTTTAGTCCTACCTAATTGGATTCAGATCAGTTTAGGTTTCGTTGAATTCTTCATAGTGATGCATGTTTAGAATACTATATGAACTAATAAAAGGGAAGCAAATGTTTGAACCTGTTTCTATGTTCTCTTTCTTCTTATGTATGGTGTAACTGTCAAGTGTTATCAATTATGTCTACCCTCCATCGTCAGCAATTGACTATGACTTTGCCTTGGACACCGAATAATAAACCATACACCATGAACGTGGGACCCAAGGTCAGTTACCATCTGGAATCGGATCCGGGTCGGGTACCATCTCCAGCGAGTCTACGTCAAAGGAAGGTAAAAAGATATACAGAAGAAAAGGGAGGAAGCATATAGTATATTTTATATAGCTGTCAAGCCAAAAGATTGATTAAACTTGCAGGCAAACTAATAGTGAAAATAAGGTCGGAAAAGTCATGCATGCGTGGAATAACATTTATGAGGGGTTGTAGAAAATAGGGAGGATGATGAACATTTCTTGGTAGAAAGAATTAACTCTGTTTCTTATACTATATGTCATTAATTACTTGCATTGAATGAAAATATAAAATAATAAAAACGTTTGGTTGATGTTAATGGTCAAAGGTGCATAATTATGTATTTGTGGCTTGTTTGTTTGAATTTGAAATGGAGTTTTGGGGAAGCAAAGGACATAATAGAGAATAAAGGCTTTTTTTCCCTGAAAGAAACGAATGGAAGCTTACTCCCGAATTGGAACCCATTGCCTCCGGAAAATGCGATGAAGGAACTCCAAACCATGTGACCCCTTGGGGTTGGGATCCATATTCCAGAACAAAAAGCTATTGCTGCTCTTCCCCTAAATTGGCGTACTGGAATGGATTATTTAAAAAAATAGAAATGATAGTCTAGTAATTGACTAAATTACCCTTAACATTAAAATATGATTATAAATGAAATTCCCTATAAGGTTCTGGCTTATCCTTCCTATTCCTTCCATGAACAGTGTTAAGATGTCAAATGTGAGTAGATTTGGCTTGATTTGTGGAAAAGTATTATATCGGTGGACTAGAAAAGAAACGTACAAGTGAAAAGGACCTATGCAATCAGTGATTTAAGATTTGAGTTAAAATATGGTGTCATATCCACTTCGATGTTTTTTTTTTTATGGCTAAGTGCAGATAGTTTTTTATTGGAGGTAATCTTGCTTGAAGTATTATCAGAAACTTCTTTCAGTACGAATTCAAACCTCGATTTGTTACATTGTGATAGACTAGCTCTTTTTGCTAAATTTAAGGGTATTTGGGAATCAAGAAAAGTGCTTTTTTAAAAACATTTTTTCACAAATCAAGATAAACTTTCTCACATATTTATTCCGTATATCGTAAAATCACTTTTAAAACAATAGTTTTGATTCCATTAAAACATCTTCTTAATTGTTTTGATTACTTCTATGTTTCTTTTTCTTTTTTCTTGGTTACATAAGAGGGCAACGCCCAAAACAAAGCAAATTAAGTAGGCAGGGATCTAGATCCCAAACACTCTTCAGAAACTAACGCCCTCAGATGAGAAGGACATGAAGCCAAAAAGTAGATTTGGATAACCTGTCCTTTGCAAGAGAGTCTGCTACTCGGTTTTACTGTCTAGTGATTTTCACCTCCCAATGAAGCTTTAGCATATTCATAATCTGAATGATCATGAGACTGTAGATGGACTTGTTCCTATTTCCAACAATTATGTCTACCGCTTTTTTTGAATCAGATTCAAGAATTATTTTTTTAAACCCCATATCCTGGCTAATTTGAGACCTTTATACACAGCCCATTCTTCTAACTCAAGAACGCTGCACAAACCAAGAGCTTGTGAAAACCCTACAATCCAATTCCCATATTCATCTCTTATCACTCCTCCACAGCTTCCTCTACTTGTTGATGCTGACATTGCCCCATCTACATTGACTTTTACCCAATCAACAGGGGGAGTTGCCATTTAATAGAGCTACTAGACAGTGATTGATTCCCCATAGTAGGGATTTCATTTATCTACACAAATAATTTCCAAGTTTGCATAATAGTGAAAGCGGGATTTTTTCTGGTTTCACAAAATCATCCATAAAGATAGTATTGTTTCGCCATAGCCAAAGTGTCCAGCAAGCAACTTCACAGATAAGATTCCATCTTGAAGACAAATGTCTTCCTAATTTCTTTTAAGATTCAAGGTAATCCATTCTCTCAAAGATACAGCAAAGAAGGCATTATGAAATTTAGAATCCACAAGTTGTAACCACATCTATGTAGCATATTGGCAATCTCGAAGCACATGTAAGATATCCTCAACCTCTAAATTAGAAGAATGACATGAAGCGGATGTGGCAGACCACTTACTATGTGAAGCATCAGTGGGTAATCTATTATTATAGACTAACCACATAAAACTCTTATTTTTTCAAACTCCTGGCCAATGCCAAATCAATTTATAAGTAGAGCTATATAAATTAGGAGGGTTCCTCTCAATCAAGAAATAAGCACTTTTCACAGTGAAATTACCATGGTTAGTACCGTTCCACATCATCACGTCATTTCCAACATTTGATAATGGTGGGAGTCTAGCTATAAGGCGTTGTTTCAGTACCAAGCCTCGTGGAATCCCATGACCCATGAGCAACCCAATCAACTACTGTCGAACCATTCTCCTCCTTTGATAAAGGTCTTAAACACAACTCCTTTATTTTTTAATCTGGAAATAACCACTTATCATTGAAGAAGTTGACATAAATTCCATTTCTGACTTGCCACTGTATGTATCTTGTTGTTGCAGAGCACAATTACCGTTCAAAATGTTATCTAGGCCTAAGTAATTGCTAGCAAAAGTAGGATTAGCTGTTATCCCCTCCCTTTTGAGATACTCTCTGGACCCAAAAAGTGGTACAAAAGTTTTTTTTGTTCGGGGGAGGTGTTTAGGAACAAAAAACCTGATTGAGTACTAAATCGGTTGAGATAGTGGTTAAAGGTTAATAGGTCAGATTAGGGGTTGAACTGGGGTCAGACCGGTAATTATTTAAAAATAAAATTTAAATAAAATTTCAAAAATATTCATTTTTTATTATAAAAATATTTTAATAAAAATAATATTTAAAAATATCCTATTAAATGAACATAGGGAGTGGATGACTGAGCTTTGGAGAATGAAAAAAGGAAGAAAAAGAGTACTAATACTACCTGCAACACGTTAACTCTGTCATTATTGCCTTGTCCATCTTTTCATTTTCATTTTGAATCCTAGGACTGTGGCCTTATTGGAGCTTCTTCCTCTCTCAATTTTCCGATCTTCATCTCACACAACGACACTTGAGTGCTCACCTCCTGAAGCATATTCTCTTCCCTCTTCCATGCTCTTTACCTTTTAAAAATTTCACTTCATTTTTCATCATGATTTTTCAGGAGTTTTCCCTTCCAGTAAGTTATTTTTTGTATCTCTTCCTCTATTTTCCTTCTCTTCTTTCTCACCCTCTTTTCTCTGTTTTTCAGATGGACTTTCTTTTATTTCTCATGGCTCTTACATGTGAGTAGGGAGCCTTGCCTTTGATTTTGACTTGGCTGTCTGATTTTTTTTTTCCAATGTTAAACGACATCCTTTCGTAGGATTGGAGGTTTTAAAAAAAAAATTACGAACCAAGCAACCCATCTAACCGTCCACCTACTCGATTTTGACCGGCTATTATCGTCGAATCGGTTTAAAAACGTTCATCCCAGCACTAGTTTTTTTAGCAAACCAGACAACCAACCACCGTTCACACGATTTTCCGGTTGAACCGGCCGGTCCAGTCTGGTTTTTTTCCTTGGGTGTTTGGGTAGCAGAGGCACCTCTCCCTGTGTGCAGGCAGAGGAAATCATATGAATATCTCTGTTTTTGCTTTTTTGGGCAAGTAAGTGGATTGAAGGAAAAAATAATTAGCCTAAAAAAATCGTAACATAGAGAAATTTGAGGAACCGTAAAAACTTGTGTACGTCCTCTACTTCATTCTCTCTCTTTCTCCCTGCGAGGATGATAGATGTAAAGCCTCTAATGAGAGTTTGATATCTCATATATCTCTGTATTTCATTGATTCTAGTGTGATTTTTATGAAATTATATGTTTAATTTTGAAACTAATTGTGATGAAATAGTAATAATTACTTGGAAGGAGCGTTTTGTAATTTCATGAGAATTCAGGTTCAGAAATCAAAGAAGGAACATTCAGGGACTTAGTGTGCAAAAATGGCAGACTTTCTATAAAAGGTGCCACGGCGGATTTGAATAAGCACCGCGGCGAATTTGGTTCAATAGGCAGCTCAAAGTCACTCATCTAAATGACACAGTTTTGGACGTGCGCCGAGGAGGATGATCATAGGTGCTGCAATGGATGACGGATATCAGCAATTTAAACCAGAAGAACGTGCGATAGATTCTGGAGAAGGAATGGAACTGGATCTTGGAGCTATTTTGGTTAGCATGCGGATCCTGAACTAATTTCAGTTGGGAGGCATTAGTTACAAGTGAGTGAAGTATTTAGGGAGGATTATTCAGTTTTTCAGAGAGAGGTTTTTCATCTTCATCTCTATTTTTTTTTCTCTCAGAGAATCCTTTGTACAGATCTGCCACATTCCATTCATCACCATTGCTGCGATGAAGTTTACATTCACCAACTTGAATCTTCCACCTCCATGTCTAGCTAAGCTCCAAGGATTTCTAGGACCTATAATGGAGCCCAAGCTATAGTTTTAACAGGGAAGAGTTTAGAGTTTGTAGGTGTTTAATTTCAGTGACATTATGATTGTGTTGTCAATCTTTGTTTCTGGATTCAGACTCATGTCTATCTACTTTTGTGATTTGAGATTTGGTTAATTGTATTCAAAGGTTATTTTCTTGATTTAGAGTAATGATGTGTGATTCTGTAGCTAGGTCTAGTTATGGATTTATACATTGTGATTGAGTTCTTGAGAAGTATTGGTTGATATTTCTTTTGGAAGTAGCTGAATCTCCATTTAATCAATCTCATCTCATTAGAAATCAATTCAATTAAAGCTTTTAAACTCTAATTAATGCAAAAAGGCTGTGAAGGCAAAGTTATATCTCCTAGGAATCATTCATCTCGTTGATTTCCAAGCTCAAAACATTCTCTGCTCTGAAGTTTTGAATTTCTGTTTAGTAGCATTTGATTCAAGTTCCAGAAATGATTTCATATCAGTTGCCAATGCATTCACCTAATTTCTACCCTAATTTGTGACTCAATCACTTAACAACACTATTAGACATTTGAGTTCCTTGAGATCGATCTCTGGTTAAGCATCATCTACTGCATTAACAAGAGTAATTAAATTTGGTTTTAAGTGACATAAGATCAGAGTTGCAAAGTAAAGAGCAGTCCGGGGGTGAGAGGGATGGATGAAATATGAGGTGACAAAAATGCGGCTAATCATTCATCCAATGATACAAAGCTCCAGATAAGTATGTGAAAAGAGTTTTACTTTTACTTGCATAAACATATTTTTTTTAAATGCTTATATGGGATGCCAAACTCCCCCTACTGTGCCTGCAGTAAAAAATAAAATCACTTTTGTAAATCGTAAAATACACACGATTGTATGAGTTTGCTCGAATGACTATTGGAGTCTTTAGAAGTCGTTTTTTATTTATGATTTATGTTTTACAGGATAAAGGTGTGAAATAAATTTTGTTTGATTTACGTAAACATATTTATGATAAGCAACTTTGGACAAATACTTTACTTTTGACCTTTTAGTTTTACAACTCCCAGAAATAAAATAAATTGGTCAATCACACCGGGCTTCGCAATAATAAACACAAGATCTACATTTCAAATAATGTGATCAACCGCTGGCAAAAAAAATAAAAGGAATAATATGATTAACTTATATTGTTAAATACTACCTCTTGTGAATAAGGTCTTATAATTAGGATTGGAGATAGCAATAAAAATGGTGGTCAAAAATTAAAGGAAAAAAAACACTAAAATATCTTCAAAAATATTAAAGGACAAATGAAGGTAAGGAATTTAAAATCCTAATTCTGACCCCAGGTATCATTTTGAAATTTTTGAATCTTGTAAAATTACACAACACTATTTTTTTCCTATTTTTTTTAATACTGCCCTCTCAGCACTTTAGCCGCCAAAGCTCTGGCGACATGTCATCAGAACTCCAGTGACTGCTCTTTTTTTATGCATTGACTACTTTTTTTTAGTTTTGATTACATTTATTTTTAGAACTATAATAATTACTCTTGTTAACTACTGATTACTCTCATATTGTGATTGACTATTTTATTTTTAAAATTTTGGCGACTACTCTTATTTAGCTATTGACTACTCTAGTTTTGCTATTGACTATTTTGTTTCAAAAATTCAAAAAATACATTAAGTATTATTAGAGATCTAGTGACTATTTTTTGTTTAGTTATTTACTACTCTTATGTAGTCAATAGCTATATAAAAATAGTCACCGAAACTTTGAAAACAAAAGTAGTCAATAGTTAAACTAGAGTAGTTAATAGCTATATCAAAGTAGTCACCGAGAATAAGAACAATATTGGTACATAAGAACAATATTGTCACTTCACTATTTTAAAATTTTAAAATAGTACCTTAGGTCTAATTTAAAATTTTAAAATTCACCTACTCTTATTTATTTTTTAATATTTTTGAGGGTATTTTAGTTTTTTTTTATAAATAAATTGAGACCGAAATAAACTACGAGAAGTAGTGAGATCCTCGATGTCACACGCCTGTCACATTGTAAAAATTAATTTGGATGGCCCATTTGCTATTTCTCGCTAAATCTAACGGACTGTATTTCACCCCAAAAACGAAAAGGGGACTATAATTTATATGGTCATGGCCACGTCACCGACCGATGCCACCATGCAATTGCTCTTGCACCAACCTCACATTGTTACGCTTAAATAATGAAATCACACCTATTCAGACTCTTAACCATAATCAATTATAAAATAAGAAATATCATTATTTCACGGTCGACCAATTTTATATTATCAGTATATTTTAAAAAAATTATCATTAACTTCAATATGAAAACTTCATGTTTAGCAAAACAGAAGGCACTGCACAAATAACTCAACGATTTTATTGCATAAAAAATATAGATTATATAAATATTTGTTTTCCCATCAATATCAACATGTAATGTAAAATGCATAACAAGCTGTTCAAAACGCACTTTCTTTGTCAAATTCCATTTAAAATATGGGGCTTGTGAGCAGCAGCAAAATAGTAAATGGAGGGGGATACATTTCTATAGCATCAATTAAATGAAAAGAAAATATTTTTGAAATAAAAAGATATCACATATAAATTAATAAAAAATTTGAAAAACCCAATATACATTACTCTTTTCACAACTAGACTAGTGGAACGTATTGCACATAGCTCAAAGGGAACTATACTATTTTCCCCTGGTAAAGTTATTGTCGTTGCATTAGCATATCACATTTTTTTTTCCTTATTTAATGTATTATCAGATATTAAATGTAATGTCCCTCTTAGCGGGGATTCAAATTTTGATTCGTTACCCTTCCTTTCATTAAATCTAATCTCTGTTAGTGGAACAATATTCTACTTATTCTTGAATATTTGACGCGATTCATGCACTTACAGAATTACAAGTTTCATATCAATCATACAGTTAGGCCAACACACAATCAACAGGCCAGTGCCCAAAGTTCACGTTTTCCTTTTCTTCTTTATTTTTGCCAGGAAAAACAAAATCAAGTCTTCAGTAATTCTAATTACTACCTTTAATCTTTAATACAAGAACTAGTTGACTAATTTGAGTATATTAAAAAAATTAGTTAAGTTAGTTATTTGTAATAAATATGTGTTGTTTTTCTTAAAATATCTTTGTTAATCAAGTATATTGATTGGAACTTTTATTATCATAAGGACAATCTTGAAAAAAATATATAGATATAAAAAACAAAGTAGATTGAGATCTTATATTTAAGATCAAAATAAAAATTACACAAAATTTTATATTAAGAATAAACAATGAAAAAGTGCTTTAAATATGATACAAAACTCTCAGCTACCCGTCTCTTGACAACATTACTTCTGGGGTCTTAACTATCAATTTCTCATGAGGACCATCTTGTAAATTAAGATTTTATATTTAAAATTAAAATAAAAATTACACAAACTTTTATATTAAGAATCAAATAGCATAAACAATGAAAACGCTCTATAAATATGATACAAAACTCTCAGCTACCCGTCTCTTGACAACATTGCTTCTGGGTCCCAACTATCAATTTCTCACAACCAATTTTACCTGCAAAATTCAACTTTTCCCCCCCCCCCCACCGTTCCACAAAGTGGTAGTTCAACTACTCCTTATAGTCATCATAAATTCACACGTATCGATAAAAATCGTTAAAATTATTAAATTTGTTATAAAATTCAATTTATTTTTAATATTATCCTTATTAACTATTACCTCCAATCTTATTTATAAAACCTCATTTGTAGACTACAAATAAAGTCTTATAATTACAACCAGAAGTCTTATATTCAATTCCGACATCATATTACTTCCTCCGTTCCTTATTATAAGAGACAAATAACCGAAGTACATTGATAAAAAAAAAGTTAAAATTAGTTAAGAACAATTATTGTGTAAAAAGTATAATTTTTTTCCAAAAATGCCCTCATTAATAAGGAGAGAGAGCATGAGAGAGAACAATTAAATTATTAAAAGAAAGAGAAATGGGAGAGAGGAAGAGTGTGAGTTGGAGATAATAAATATAGTAAAATAGGAAATCAACACAAAAAAGTAGAGACAACTTTTAAGTGTCTCTTATATATAGAAATATGTCATAAGCATTAAATGTCTCTTATAATAAGAAACGGATGGAGTAATTTTTACTCTCTCTCACTACTCTTATTAAATATAAATATATACGGAGAAAAAATTTAATGCTAATTGAAATTATCACAAGGCCTTATGAAAAGGATGAACTTTTTTTCCTCTAGAAGATGTCTTGTACTCCTTCCGTCCCTTTTTATAAACAACATTAAACTCCATTACATAGATCAAAAAGTTAGTTAAAAACAATAAATAAGTAGAAATTAGAAGTTTTTCCCTTGAATATATTTATTTTGGGGGGGGGGAGAAGAGTATAAGAAAGACGATAAGAAATTATTATAAAAAAGAGAATTATAAAAGGAAAAAAATGTGTGATAGAGAAAGGTAATAGTTTGAAAAATGAGATAATAAATATATCGAGTCTTAAAATAAGTAATTAACGGGATAAGATAAGAAATTTGCTATAAAAATTTAAGACAACTTGTAGATATTATTTATATCTAAAATAAAGAGAGGAATGGTAGTTATTACTTATAAACTGAAGACTAGGGAGTGATAAGGAGCAGAGAGAGAGAGTAGCTCCTAATGAATTTATTATGCCTCTTGTCCTCACGCACCGCGTCATTCCTATTTATACTTCGTCCTCATTTTTCAATTCCTAACATTCTACATTGTGTCTCTTTTATTTCTTGATTCCTTTCTGCTTCACAGAATTCCATGGCTACCGCTGGAAAACTTGAGGTAGAAGTGCAGGTGAAGTCTCCTGCAGACAAGTTCTGGGCAACCATTAGGGATGTAACTATCTTCCCCAAGGCCTGCCCTCAGGACTACAAGAGCATTGAGATTCTTGAGGGTGATGGCAAGTCTGCTGGTTCTGTCCACCTCGTCACTTATGGTGAAGGTAACATGAACTTACATTCTCCTCTTGTTAACGTAGTCATCCTGTTTGTTCATTGGTCTCTGAGAAAATCATGCTTCAAACAGCAAAACCTTCATTTCCCTATCGGTGCTAAAGTAAACCCTAGTCACAGGAAGGATTATTCTTATCTGTGTTTATCTTTGGTGAGTATCACATCTAGCTATCATGTAAGCCTTGTTTGAGTCTACATAAAAGGAGTATAGATCCAACATTATTATTGGACTTAGTCTTCATCATGCAAGTCTTCATCATGCAGGTTTTAATAGTGATCAGTAGGCCTTTTGCCCAAAATGGTTGAAGCTTTCCTTAACTCTTTTATAGCCTTCTAACTTCTCTTCTGCCACCAACGTGGGACATTTCCGACACATACATGCGCAATTTGCATCTTAAACCTTCTTTTTTTTTTGGATGGATTATGTTTATGTTTCAGGATCCTCACTTGTCAAGACATCAAAAGAGAAAATTGAAACTCTTGATGATGCTAAGAAGACACTGTCCTATAGTGTCGTTGGAGGAGACTTGCTGACGTACTTCAAGCTTTTCAAGGCACACATGAGTTTAGAAGCCAAGGGGGAAGGGAGCCTGGTGAAGTGGTGGTGTGAGTATGAGAAGGCAAGCGATGAAGTTCCCGATCCAGATATGGTCAAGGACTTTGCAATCAAGAACTTCCAAGAGGTGGATGCCTATATTCAGAAGGCATAGAGAGGGTAGATATGCCTTTGAAGGACTATTAGATGGATTGATAAATAATGTGGCTGTGCCACTTCCATTTGATGCTATCTTGGACTTGGTTAAAATCACAGGACATGGCTTTCTTCATGCTTCTGTATTGTATTGATGAATTGTTTCTCCTGTTTGGTGCCTTTTATCCCATTATTGATGAGTTTCAGAATAATAACAATGTTGCAAATGAGTAATGTCTAAGAGCAAGTTTGTGTTACTTCTTCAATCCTAAATATAAGACTCGGAGGAAATATATTTGAAAAATGGATACACAAACATATACTAAGTCAAGTCAATAGTTGAGATTTGATAATATATATTTAAACTGCTTGATAAGTCGCTTATATAGAGCAATGAAAATGACAATATACTAATAGTAATTAAATTATGATTATAACCCTAATAACTCATACGATATGTTAAATGAGTTGCGCTGTTCATATGAATGATATGATTTCTTATATAGTTTATTCCATAAATATGTAACAATACTTCTTTAAAAATTCCACTTATGACAAAATAACTAGTAATTATAAATAAAGATGTACAAAAATGACAAGAACAAGAACAAAAAGACGGAGGGGGAAAAAACAAAAGCAGAGCAAATGAAACATCACAAGTTCAATCTAATTATAATTGGCCGGCTCTTCCATTTTTATTTTTATTTTCCTTCTCTCTTAATATTGTCTGCTTCATTCACTCTTTTCGTGCAAACACATCACAAGTTCGTTGATCAAACACTCTGTTCATTTTCTCACTGGGTCCATTAATATGTTACTGCTTTAACACTGTTTCTCTTGATTCTTTTTTTTTTTAAAAAAAAAGAAAAATTACAAGTATTCTCATCCAGGTTTTTCTTCCCATTCAATTAAAAGAATTTTCCACTAAATTTAGCGCCATGATCAAGTGGGTCAGTTTTTTTGTTTGGACAAAAGAACTTCATATGAACACTTAGATCTAAAACTTCAAAATATTTACATGTTACAGCAAATGAAACCTCAAAGACAATCCCTTTGCGTATATATACACAGACAGACAGACACACACACACACACAGAACTCCAATTACAAGGGAACAGAGGGGAAGCTTCTGGATAATAATTGACTTCCTCTAGCGTTCTGAAGCTTTGTTTATACTTGCATTTCCTTATTTTCTTTTAACAGAGGAGCTTTCTTGTCCAAGGAATCTGAGCTCTCGTCACAACCAATTTTGTCTTCATCTTCCTTGATTTGTCCCCACATGACACTATAATACCCTATTCCAGTTATAGTTGTTCCTACCACACTGAAAACACATATTTTAGTACCAATATAAAAATAGCATTGAACATGAACATATACTGATATACATACGTACAAATGTAGAATATAATATATTAAATGAGAAAAATCTAAGGTACCTTCCAAAATGAAGGCTATTAGGAAAGAAAGTGACCCCAAATATAGTTGCATAGGCAATTCCAAAGGGTTTGAATATTTGAAAATAAAATGGACCCTTCAAGCGTGTGAACCAGACTTGGATGGTGGGACGAATCACACCCCCAAATAAAGCCTATATAATGATTTTAATATGCCATACAATCAGATTCCTGGTCAGTATGTGTTGGCCTGTCATTATGAAAGAGTTTCTGAATCTAAATGATAAATAAACTAATGCTTACAGTCAACACAACGAGAATAAGCTCCATCTTATGCTTCAGCTTCCATGCATCTGAGTCTCTCTCAACCATTATCGATACAATTGCACTTGAGATTGTCCCAAGGAAGTTATAGTAGCAGATCACCTTCATTGGTTCTGGGTAGAGTTTAACAGTTCCCTTCTGAAGCAAAGAACGAAGTTTGATCATGCAGAACCAGAAATCAAGATATGCAGATGAAAACAGGTACAGTAGTTGAAACTTGAAAGGTGCATTCCTATGAGTTTCTTGGAAAAGGATTCGCACCTGCATAAAGTTCCAAAGTGAAACTGAGAAAGAAGCAGCAGCAAGCAAGAGTCCACCAAGAACCCAGAACTCTGGGGTTGAGGAGAAGATGAAAAAGTGCTGAGCATGGCGAAGTTGGTGAGAAGAGGGCCTTATGAGTGGGCCCTTGAAGAACTCAGCTAGAGCTGCTCCCATTATTGATATCAGAGTGCCCATCACTTGGAATAACGTAGCAGAGCTTCTAAAGTTTAAATTTTTCTTCCTTAAATAGTATCAATTAAGTCGAATCAGGAAGATTATCATCAGAAAATAAAAAGGAGCACCAGAAAATGAGTGTTAGAAACATGCAAAAGCCACCTGAGAAAGAGAGAGAGGAGGAAATTGAAGGAGGGGATCAAAAGACCCATCGCACATACGAGTATCGGTGAACTATAGCCAAGACCCAGGAATGAGAATGTCTGAGACAAAGTTATCCTGCAAAACCCATCAATGGCGGGGGGGAGAAAAACAAGAGAAAGATGATAAATATTCATTTCAGAGCATATTCAAATGGAACAGTATTGATTCTTAAAACTGGGAAAGAGAATATACCCTGTAATTCCCAGGAACAAGAATCTCATAAACATGGAAAAAGAAAAAGGTGGCAGCACAGATCTGTCATTAGAGTGTATTAGATAGGAAAAGAGGAAGAGTATTAAAGTGGCCAGAGAATTGGTATATACAATGAACACAAAAGGACTCATTCCATTAGTTAATGCACTTTTGGCGAAAATAGTTAGTCCAATAGTGCATCCTTCCATGATCACCATCACTATAAATGGCATCACTTCCCATGTCTGAGTCTTAGCCTCCATTAATCTTCTGTTTCTTTTGCTGACAAGTTATATGTCAGTGATAGAAACTGAACAGAAGTCTTCTCTTATAATAGCCAGAGAGACTTCTGAGGCTGAGAATCTATACCCTATGATTATGCGAGAAACCTGATTGATTCTGTGTGTTTGATGATTCTCGTCAAGATATAAAAACAGAGGGATGAAAAGAAGATTCATGAGGAATTGGGATAACCCTTCACAAAGTGGGGAAGCTACTCTTAAGAGAAGCAGCTACTCGAGTGTCCCTAGATATTAAACAAGGGATCAAAAGCTGACGTCTGAACTAGTTTTTTTTGCTTTTAAATCATCAAATATTGATCACACATGTCGTGAACGTATTTCCCGCTTAGGTTTACTTATAATTTTGGGTTTTTGTTATCTTTCTTTTATAGTCAGGTTCCAAGAAATTTAGTGGTGATGTATTTAAAATATATGCCACACCGTGGCCTATTCAGACGTTGTTTTATGAATCTAAGTGACCCCACAGAAAAACAAATGATTAATTGTGGAAGGGTTTTCTGATATGAGGGAGAATGCTTTCGTGGTAGGCATTAACAGAGGGCCTACCTTGAAATGATTAGTTTAACATATCAATGGAGCTCACTCTTTTAGTTGGCGTGTAATGAAGAAGCACTTTAATTAAAATATTTTTTTTCAAGATATATGAAGCGTCTATCATGCTTCTTGTGTCATTTAATTAAAATATCAGAGTCTGTGATTTTCAAATTGAATCACCCTTATCGGGATTAATTTTGTAAGATTTGTTTAGAGGTTGAACTGTAGCAAATTAGCAATTGTGCCAGTACTAATTGAGTTGAGGCTGAAGACTCACAAATTGAGGTGATTGGAAGGGATTTGGTTTCACATAATTTTATAAAGTGCTTCACTGCAACGTATCCAAGGAGAAATCTATTAGTAGTATAAGTAAGATAAAAATATGAAAACAATATCTTAGCTTTTGATCTTGGTAAAATGAATATTTGAACTTTGGAGACATCCAATTATCCAAACACAATCCCCTGGCTGCTTTTGATCCTCAGCAATTTGAAACTTGAGACGTCCCAAGCATATTAATGTGACTAAGTTGTGAATTTCCATTCTCCTTGTATTTCCTGATATAGGAGATTAGATTCCCCCCAAGATTACAATCTCTAATACTTAATATAAAAATTCACTTAACATTTAATTTGGTCTTAAATAATAAGATTACAATTTACCTTGTCTCTCATGTTTATCTAATTTTTTTTAAAATAGTTCTTATAGTAGTTATACATGTTAAAAGTTTTATTAAATTGTAATTCTAGCTATGATTAGAAATGAAATGCTAAGAAACACAACACTTAATTATTATAAATAACTATCTTAACAAACTTTTTTAATTTATTCAAATTAATTAATTAACTCTTATATTAAGGATTGGGAGTGATATTCTTTAGCTTTTGTAGTTTGTATCATTAGAGTTATTAGTCACTGAAATTTCTTTTTTTTTTTTTTTTTGAGCAAACATTAGTCACTGAAACTTAAAACTGTACGTTAACGGAGTTAAATTTCTTTGGTGGAGCAAACAACTGGATGATATTCTCCTTTTGCCTCCTTCCACCGCAACGCCATCTCTCTCCTCTCTCGTTCGCTCATTCATTTTCTCCTTCCCCACCACCAACACTGAGAATTTAGTTTGGATCTGAATGGAAGAATTTTCTTGATTCGACCTGCTCCATTGAAGCAATCCCCATTCAAAAGTCTTGCTGAGTCACTCAAACAATAAATTTAAGATGATATAAAATGAAGTTGATAATTTTATAATGCTGTTTTAACAAAGCATATCCATTCACTATTACATTCATACAGGCATGCTCCTCCGGTTCTCGATATAAGACATAAGGGTTTTATATTTAGTACCGGAGGAGTATTGATTTGGAATGAAAATGAAAACTTGGCACAGCGAGCAGCTGCTCTGTTCTCGGTATTGAAAGACCAAATTTCTTCATGTCCAGATCTTTTGGGGTCATCTCCGGCGGAAGCTCCCGCCGGAGACAATTGATCAACTGAGCGACCACCAGCTTCACCGTGCACAGCTCCAACTGCATCTCTGGACACCCTCTCCGACCAGTCCCGAACGGCATGGACATCAGACTATCTCGTCCTCGAAAATCCACCTCCGTCTCCAAAAACCGAAACTCCTCCGCCTTAGGATTTCGTCCCAATGCCCGCATGTTCACTATGATCAGAGAAGTCGAATTTAAGGATGGCTTTTAATGTTGGGGAAGGAACGGTGAGCCATTTAATGGTGGGGAAGGAGAAGATGCAGGAACAAGTGAACGAGAGAGCAGAGAGACGGCGTTAGGGTGGAAGGAGGCAGAAGGAAAATATTCTAGCTGCGTGCTTTCTAACGAAAATTTAACCGTCAGTTCTCATCAAGGGCAAAAAGTTAGGGAATTCAATATGGGGGGGGGGGGGGGACAAATCAAGGGCCTAATTCAAAATCGAAAGAAATTCGAAGATCTCCACATTAATTTGCCCCTGATAATTTATAGGTTTTCTCAGAGGTTGCGTCCGCCTTTCCCCAAGATTTAAATTCTATTAAAATAAAATATGCGGAGCAATATTAGAGTAACGAAAAAAAATAATTAAAAAACGTCCATGGTTTGCTTTTTATCAAGTATGAACTGTCCACCAAAGGATAATAAGCGCATTCAATTACAACATGCACGTAACGATATTATAATAGACCAAAAGTACTAGATAATAAAATAAGAGACTCAGTTATACAACTTAATACTCCTCCGGTCCTAAATGTAAGACCCTTATACTAGTGTGTATAAGGGTCTTATATTTAGGACCGGAAGAGTATTATTTTATTATCAGATGGACTTCATTTTGTTTGATTTAATTTTTTTTTTATTAGACAGCAAATATTTAAGAAATTTTTCTACCTCCATTTTCTTTTCATTTTAAATTTAGACACATCACCACTAATGAAAAGTCACTCAACCATCATGAATCTCTCTCAAGATACTAAAGGCAAAAACTAGAACCCTGTTAAGTGCTAACAAATAACATCATACTTTTAAATGGAGAGTGCTATACTTGGTGAAAGATTTGGTAAATAAATCATATTTACAACTTACAAGCTTGAAGTTGAAACCAGAAATTATGTTTCAAATGTCCCAGTCCTGGCACCAATGCATGAATAAATAGCTCTAGAGCTTACTCTTCACTCTGTGCAGAGCAATACTACATTAGAACATCCCACTTTTTCGTGTGGCAATATGAATTTGAATAAATCCAAAGCCTCTTCTATATCCCTTAAGCTGCTTATTTTACTTTAAAAGAGGAGTGTTTTCGCCACTTGATTCTGAACTTCTCACGCCAGCATCGTCAATATCTCTGGCTTTCCCCCATAACACAGAATAGAACCCAACAACTATTACAATAGCACCAACCAAACTGCATTGGAATTCAAAAAATACTGTCTTAGAGACAATATCCTCAGCAACACAACCAAACACCAGGAAAATATTTTCTACACACACACACGCACACACAGAGAGAGAGAGCCTACCTTCCAAGATAGAATGAATCTCCAAGGAAGATGACACCTGCAATCACTGAGATAACAATGCCCAAGGGCTTGAACATAGAGACAAAAACAGGTCCTGTCTGGTGGAGGCACCATATAGTAACACCAACTTGAAATGCAGAACCAAAAACCCCCTGCAACATGTTCACGAGGTTTAAGGCTTTTTAAAGGGAATGTGTCATGTGATGTGGTAGTTATCATTGCTAGTAACATTTAGAGTCATTTATAGTTAAATTACCGAGTATAAAACTGCAAGCAATCTCAACATGGGCTGTAAGCTCCATGCACTTGCATCTCTTTCCAGAAACAAGCAGGTTGCGCCGGATAGAATGGCCACAAAGAAACAATAAAAGAATACTATAATCAACTCTGCCGGATATTTCTTTACAATTTTAGCCTGCAAAATCATAAATTGTGGTTAAGAGTTTTTAGAAACCACTGATCATGAAAACTTCATAATCCATAATGATTTTACCTGCATGATGATGTATGCTGAAGCCATCACACAATCTGCCGCAAGAAATAGTCCTCCAAGCATGAAATTAGACTCTTGCGAGAAAAGTTGCAGTCGAGAGGAGCTTGCAGGAGATGGCCTAGCCAGAAGTGGAGGGCCTTTGTATAGAGTTGCAACAAATGCACCAGCAATTGATACTACGGTTCCTAGTGATTTAGCAACGCTACTATAGCTTCTCCAGTCTAACCTCTCCATCCTGAAACCACCAAGTTCAATCAGTTCAGTTTAGCTAAATGAATTGCTTTAAATGACTGATTGAAAACACAACTATATCATCCTTTGCTCTACAATTGATTTTAAGCGCATATTGGACTATATGATTTCTGAAGCTATTTTGCTGTGCGTGCTTATATATGTAACTTGAAAACCAGCGAAGCTCATTTTTATCTTATAAGCAATTGAATAAAGGGCTGTTACAGTACACTTCTCTTCAAAAAAGTTTCTGTCTGAACAACAACTATGTTATTCAAACTCATTTCAAAAGCAAGGCAAGCTTTCAAGAAGATTCAACGAATTTTGTGCGTAGTAGCCACAAGGTGGCCACTAGTATAAGTAATTTATTAGCAAGCCTTGCAAAACTGTACACGGGCTTGCAGTCTATGCAAGTTGTGAGTGTCAACATATAAGAGTAACAAATTACCCCAGTGAAAGTGGCAGGAGTGTAAAACCATATATCATAACTGATTAACGCAAGAGAATCATTTATCCTATGAGAAAAATATAGAAAATGATGCTGCATTATTTAGATGATAAACCAGTGGACAATAGCGAATTGGCATGCCTTAATCAAAAGACAAGCACAACCATTTTAGAGATCTTTAAAATCCACATTTTGCTATTTTCAACAGCCATGAACCTTGTCAGTTCACCAGCGCACACAAGATCAATATGGTCCTATTTTCTCATGCCTCGGTTTGAGGCAGCATGCATCAGCTAGGAATAACAATATAAAAACAGCAATAAAAAATACAAAACCAGAATTTTCAAAAGCATGAAGGAGACGACTAACCCAAAAGCAACAGCAAGGATGAATGTAAAACCAGGGACAAGGTTGAGCAAGGCCGAGCTGAGCGTAGCAGAGCTGTAGTAAATCCCAGCATACCCAAATACCTGCGCCAAATAGCTGGGACCAAAAAGAAATACTGGTTTCAGAGCCCACAAAATGACATGCCTCAGAAATTAGAAATCAAAACTGCGACCAAAATTTACCACATTTGAAGTTCGATATTCATATGGAATAAAGCTGGAATCAAATTACCCGAGCAACCCGAGTGAGAAGAAACCACAGAGAGTAGAAATTGTGATTGGGGGACGCTCAGATCTGCTGAAAATAAGAATCAAAATTTACCACATGTGAAGTCTTGAAATAGTGAGGTTCAATTCTGCAATATCCAATATAACAAACATGATGGGTATGAGAAGAAAGAAAAGGTACCTGTGGAGGAGCAAGGAAGAAGGAAGCAGAAGGAGGGCAGCGAGGGAGTTGGAGAAGAAGACGAAAACAAGGCTGCTCATACCTTGAGACATGACTACTTTGCTGACAATGATTAAGCCAACCTGGGCACACTCCGCCATCACCATTCCCAGAAATGGCAGAACGACCATCCCCATTCTCGTTAACTCTGAGTCGTAATGGAACCAAAACTCAATTCCGGGATGTGGTTCATTCCAAAGGCTTGTGAAACTTGCAAGTCAACTTCCCATCCATCATCCCTATCTCCCTTGCCTACCCTTATCGTCCAGATTCAGACGACGACCGCTGCGCTCTATAACTGTCGTGTTCGTATTGCAGTTTGATTACCCCTCATGTAAACTTAAATAAATAGATATACATATATTACGTTAACATTAATATTCAAGAATTAGATGTGATCATGTGAGGATGAGAATCTCTGGATAACTGGATCCTTTGAATTTGAAATATCTTCATTTTTTTAATTCTAATTAAATAGAGAGAGAAAATAAATTATAAATTCTTTAAAATTTTGTGAAGAGATCATGAGTGTTTCTTTAAGTTCTTTAATTTCATAAATAAAAAAAACGTGAGAAGGAGGTTTTCCTACCGTTTTGGCATGTTTTCTAGCAAAGTTTGTGTGGCAGCAAACTGTGATATTTTAATAATCATGGGGGTGTTTGGGATTGTACAAAAGAAAACACTTTTTTGCAAAATGAGACAAACTCCTCCACATATTTATTTCGTATACCATAAAAGCACTTTTAAAATTATAGTTTGGTTTCTATCCAAACACCCTTATAGTGTGCCATATGTCTGAATGTTTTTCTTACGCATATAAAGTCAGCAAGTATGATGCATTTTTTAATATTAAAACTTGTTAAATCATTGAATTGATAATTTTGAATAAAACTTAGAAAATTAAATTAATTGCTAATGATCTTATAGCCTAATCACATGAGAATTTCTTTGTAAGAGAGATGTCACAGATAAAAGACTAATTATAACTTGAAGTCTTGAACTATACAAACCAACAAAAAAAGAAGAAGAAGAAGAAGTTGCGCGTATGCTAACTATACCTCCATTAATGATGAAAAATATAATAACAGTTCATATTGATATTTCACTTTCACACGCACTGGTTCTGTAGAAGAGGCACTGCATTAGAAGAAGAAGACACAGAGCTACAGATTACTGTTGTCTGGAAAGCCATCTTTTCCTGTTGAGCCTGACCCCATAAAACGCCATAAAACCCAATAGTTATCACTCCACCCCCTATCACGCTGCGTCATCAAAAGGAAATTAAATACAAAAATAGATCAGTTATCCATCATCATTTTATAATTACGCTGTAAATCATGAAAAATTATCCGCTAGCGGAATAAGGCTTGTTATCCGCGGCACTAACAAGTCTAAAAAATATTCATCTTTTTTTACCAATTTGATTTGTCAATGCAATTCGATTCGTAAATATATTCAAGTTTGGCTAATAAACATAAATCGTTCAATTTCACTTTTGAATGACGCAATTCAATTTATAAACATAATTTTTTAAAGCATATATATACATACATATATATATATAATTTTGATACCTAAAACTCTTCACACGTACCTGCCAAGAGAGAGAGATTCGCCGAGAAACACAAGTCCCATGGCCAGTGCGATGACCATTCCTAAAGGAGTAAACATGGCCACGTACACGGGTCCCTTCCTTCCGCATGCCCATATATTTGTCAAGCTTCTCATTGATACCACAATAATCCCCTATATATGTACACATATATTATATATCACTAATTGATCAGTACTATATGCGATACTCCTGCATCACATCAAAAACAGATGCTAATTGGGATTCTTGATAGAAGAGTTTAAGAGTTAGATTTTATCCTGAGCATAACATATCAATTCACCTAGTCTCTTATATTTTTTTTCCTAACCTGATTTACCAAATCGATATATAATCTAATAATGTTACACAAAAGTATTTTAGAGACACCACGCCATACTACCTCCAATTCTTAATATGAAAACTAGTTAACTAATTTGAGTAGATTAACACTATGTTTGGTACAGGATTTTCAGAGGGGAGGAGAGGGAAGTTGCTCCCCTTCCTTTGTTTGGCTAGTGTAATTTTTTAGGAGGGGAGGGGAGTTGGTTAAGATATTTTTTAAAGAAGGGAGGGGCTCTTCTCCCCTCATCTTCCCTTCTACCTTCCCCTCCAAAAGTGGGGTTTTTGGAGGAGAGATGCAAGATAATATTTTAATTCCTCATATACCCTTTTGATTTGTTAACCCTTAATCAGTCGTAAATATTTCTACATAAGAGAGTTCTTTTGAGTATCTAGCAAAAGGTTGTTGAGATAATTGTCTCCAAAATTACTAAGCATTTATAAACCTTTTTTTCTCTCCTCTCCTTCTAATTCCAAGAGGCCGTCAATATTTTCTTTCACCTTCAATGTCTTTTCTCTGATTGAAATCTATCACTCATGACTTTTTATCTTGATATTCTATAAGTGTGTGACTGTGTCTTGTAAATCAAAATTGGTGAATTGCATTATATATATATATAGTTATATCTTAACAAAATAAAAAAGTGAGAAAATTCATTTAAATTTTATGAGGTTAAAATAGTCAATTTTCTATTAGAACAAAATAAGGTATTATTAAAATTGCTCCCTCCTCTCCCCTCCTCTCCAATCAATCCAAACAGGAGATCATTAAAATCCCTTTCTCTCCTTCCTCCTCCCTCCCCTCCCCTTTGTAACTACCCTCCCCTTTCCTCCCCTCTCCTTCCCTTGATTAAAATCCCTCCCCTCCCTTTCCCTCCATCAAGCCAAACACAGCATAAGAAAACTCGCTAAATTATATTATGTTTGGTATGGGAGTTTTGAAAGGGAGGGGAGGGAAGCTGCTTCCCTCCCTTCGTTTGGCTAGTACATTTTTTAAGGAAGGGAGGGGAGTTACTTCTCTCCTTTTGTTTGGTTGGGATATTTTTTAAAGAGGGGAAGAGTTCTTCTCCCCCCTTTTTTCCTTCTAGTCTCCTCTTTAAAAGTAGGGTTTTTGAGAGAAGAGATGAGAAATAAAATTTTAAGTTTCAAAATTAGCCTAATTAAAATAGTTTAATTCCTCATATTCCCTTTCAATTTGTTAACCCCTAATTAGTTATAAACATTTTCTATGCAAAAGAGTTCCCTTAAATATCTACCAAGAAGCTGTTGAGATAGCTGTCTCCAAAGTTGTGAACGTTATTGGACCTTTTCTTCTAATTTTATTGTTTTATGCCATATTTTCTTTCACCTCCAATACCTCTTCTCTAATTGAAACATATCACTCGCAGCTTCTTATCTTGATATTCTATATATGTCTGACGGTGTTTTGTAAGTCAAAATTAGAAATTGCATTATATATATGTATATCTTAATAAAATAAAATGTGAGAAAATTCATTTAAATTTCATAGACTTCGTTATTTTAGAAGGTTTAGCCAATTCCCATTGGGAACCATAAAACAACTAACACCCTATCTTCTACTCCATACTATGAGCTAGAGGCAATAAAATTGTAATTGTAACGCACCATTCGGTCCAACCCCAATCTCCTTTCATTTTTGAAGATGCTTTCTTCATTGGTAACGAAAATCAATTTCTTATTAGAACAAAATAAGTTATCATCAAAATTCCTCCCCTTTCTTCTCTTCCAAACAAGGGATCCTTAAAATCCCTTCCCTCTCTTCCCCTTCTCTACCCTCCTATCTGTAGCTACGCTCTTCTTTTCTCCCCTCCCTTTTCCTTAATTAAAATCTCTCTCATTCCCTTCTTTTTATCAAGCCAAACACATCGTTGGTAATTTGTAACAAATAGATGTTGTTTTTCCTAAAATATCTTTGTTGATCAAGTATATTGACCAAAACTATCATTATTACAAGAACAGTCTTAGAAAAATAAATAAAAGTGAATTAGAATCTTATATTTAAGATCAAAATAAAAGTCAAATGATCTCTTATATTAAGGATAGCAAGTACTATATGTTGTAAGGATTAAGCTGCAAATTGCCTCGGAAATTTTTGCTCAGGAGCAATGTTGTTTAGGAAGTTGTTCTGGGTTAAAGGTTGTCCCCAAGTATTATAGTGGAGAAATGTTATCCCTTACTGATAAATTTTAATGATCAATGTTAGTTTTTTAACAGTCGGAGGTAATATTGTTATGAATTTAAACTTTTAAAGTGACACCAAACTGGGGGGGAAAAATTTCAAGTACCTTGCGCTCATGAATGAAATTAAAACTTCCCATACAAATTTGAACTTAATCCTTGTTATAGTTAGTAAATTTATATCTAACTCCTTTAATATATTCAAATTAATTAATTAATTAGCTTTTACGGTAATAGAAAGTAATAAACAATCACATCAGATTTTACAAGTTTACGTCAAGACTCTGAAAAAAATATTTATGTAGTGTTTGGTTGTGGCATGCTTACAGAGTATAATATAGCAGCCAACTCCATATCAGCGCGAAGAGTCCATGCTTGAGCATTATCTCCCTCAGCAATAAGAGAAACCATGGCGGATAACATCGCCACGAAGCCGCATGATATGGTTGCTATCATCATAACCTCAGGGTACTCCTTCATTATCCATGTCTGCATTTATCAAGCTAAGTGCGTTTTAATTTTCAATCAAATCAGAGTTTGATGAAAGGCACAAATCTTTTTAAAGTGGTGGATGCACCCAGTAAAGCGTAATTATAAGCAATAATTATGGAAGGGTAACAATGAAAGCAGTCCCACATGATGAGATTGGGAAAGAAAATTGCAGCTAGCAACCAAAAAATGAAGAACCAAGGACTTAACCCTACCTTGACGTTAAACACGACAGAAAGACAAAAGCTGCCGAGTGCAAGGAGAACGCCCCCTAGAAGCCACTCATCTTGTGGCAAGACGATTGCCTTATCGTCTTCCAGATTGGAATCTCCACTATTTGCCTCCCCTCGGTACAGGGTCACCATTAACGCTCCTGTAGTGGACAACACTGTCCCTATACACTTTGCATGACTGCTCACTTGCCTCATCTCCACTTTTTCATATCTGCAAATAACTTAGTCTACCAAACATCTCAATCCAGGTTTCACCCCATTCACTGCACAATAATAAAATTATCTGATATATATCCACAACTTTTGGATTCTTTGCGTTCATACAAACATAAATTTAAGAACTTATGCTTAAATAATGGTCGTGGCCAGTGAAAGAAACTGCGGCCAAAAGGATGCGGGGTATGATACCTGAAAATGATGGCAAGAAGGAAGGTAAAAGCTGGGGAGAGGTCACCCATGACTGAAGAAAGAACAGGAGAGCTATATCCAATACCGACATATACCATTGTCTGCGCTGCACAACTACCACAAATTCCACTGTTAATCCATTAAGTTTCTCTACAATAATTTCACACATAAACATCAGAATTAAGATTGATATACAAATAAGTAATCAAAACAGAGCCTTTTTCTTCATAAAGGATAATATATATACATGAGCAAGCTGAGAAGAAATATTCTGCAGATGATTGAGAAGGTGATGGGGGGAGAAGGTCGGTTTCTATAATAAAAGAAGGAAGATGGAAGAAGAAGAGAGAAAGCCACGGCGTTTGAATAGACAACGAAAACATAGTCGCTCATCCCTTCGTCGGTGGCTGCTTTGATCAGAGTGTTCAGCACTACTTCATTCACCTGAACTGCCACCATTAATATTGTTACTTTCAGATCCTCCATTGATCCTCTCCTCTGTTTTTCTCCGTCCCTTCCTCTGCTTCGCTTTCCTGCGTATTGTGCTCTTTCTTTCTACTTTCACACTCTCCCTTTATTGTTTCCAGACTACTCTATCCAATCCACTTTGCCCGTTTTCAACGATGGAATCATTTATTCGACATACTTTTAATGCACTGACATTGTCTGCTTCTTCATGATTCTCTTTGTGATAAATAAATGAATAAAATACACCGCATTAGGACATGCATCCAGTCGTAAGAAGCACTTAAGAAATACCTATAGATCATCTATTAACAAAATTCTCACGTTAGCAATAAGATTCAAATTTATGATTTTGTGAATAAATTATATATAAATAAATTATTGTAAAAATATCATGTTGAAACGGATTGAAACTTATTTGAATTATATATTAAAAAGTAAGTTTATATATAAAATAACTAAAAAATTGTTATAAAAATAAAAAGAATTAATGCATCATTAAAAAATTTATAAACACAAAAAAGGATATATTTAATGAATAAAAATATAAACATATGTAAATATAAAATTTATAAAATAATATTAAAAAAAATAAAAACATATTTAAAAATTTATTCTACCTTTTTTTCATGACTGAAATATAAGTATCGGTAAACATAATTTATAAAATAATATTAAAAATTTAAAAATATTAACATATTACTCCCTCCATCTCTTTTTATAAGTAATAACTAACTACCATCTCCTCTTGTCCTTAAATATAAGCAATATTTGCAAGTTATTTTAAATTTTTGTAGCAAATTTTCTGTGTTGTTCCCATTAAATTTTTATTTTAATACTCAAACCATCATCTTTCTCTATTACACATTTTCTCTTTTTTATAATTATCTTTATTATAATAATTTTTGAATTCTCTTTTCTCATACTTTCCCTATAAATAAAGGTATTTTTGCGCAAAATTTTTTATTTCTATTTTTTTATTATTTTTAATTAATTTTTTGATTTACATAATGAGATTTAAGGTTGTTTTACAAAAAAAAAAACATAGAGGGAGTAAAGAGTTATTCTACCTTTTTTTTTTTTTGGGAAAATGGCTTTAAGGTCCCACACAAGCATAAATACAACAAAAAAATCCCATGAAATCTCATAATATTTCTGAAGTCCCAAAGGGACTTGTGTACAATTTTCAGAATCATCAAATGACACTCTTGTCCTAACTATCCTCTTGCCCTAACTATCAAAAACAAAGACGGTGGGTGAGGAGTTTCCCGATCAATATGGTTGAGAGAGAAGACATTGGGAAAGAGGGAAGGAGCCATTAATGATGAAGTATCTTCTCCATTATCATTAGTGAACTCCAAAGAGCTTCCATGTGAATCTCCACAGATCTTCAGGTATGGAACTTTCTTTCCTCTCCTCTCCTACCTTTCTTGACAGATTGTGCATTTGTTTGGGAATGAGAAATCAGAAAATCGTTTTTGCCTTTGGTACTGCAAAGCTTTTGTTTTTTGTCTAGGATTCACAAGTTAATCAATAGAGAAGCTGTGTTTTTTGTTGGTGTGTGTTGGTGATTTAGGTTGGGTGTGTAAGATGATCATGGGTGCCCTGTTTTTGGGTTGCTTGTGGGTGGTTTTGCTCTGCTCTGACGTTAGTTTAGTGGCAAAGGAAGAAGAAGATGAAGGTTAGTGTGGGTAGAAACCCTTAGCACGAAATGGGATATTGTGTTGTCAATCAGGCCGCGATAGTTGTCAATGTGTGCCGCAACACTTGTCAATATAGCGCCTTGACTTGTCAATGACAGTTGCGTGATTCTTGATGTAGGTTCAAATTACTGATGGTGAGTACATCTGTAAAGTATCTATTTTGCTTTGTTCACATAGGGGAAAATTTATAAATGATAGAAAAGATGATATGAGATATGTGGGAGGTAGTGTAAGAACAACAAATATAAAGGAGGGCACAAGTTATGAAGAATTGAAGGAGATAATATCATCAGTTGTGTTTGTTCAAAAAAAAACTTTTGTGGAGTTAGTAGATGATGATGGGGTAGAACATTTGATAAAGCTCAATGAAGAAAGTGGTTATGTGTATGTAGAAGAGAATGGAAATAAGGACCACATAGAAGCAACAAGGGATAATACACTGGAGGAACAAGATGTGTAAGTTTAGTTTAACAAAACTGTTATTGTCATTTCTTCATATGTCAGTTGTTACTGTCTTACTACCAACTTGTCAATGTATGCATCTTAACTTGTCATTTCCTGCAGGATTGATCAATCATTTGGAGGTGTCAATGAATTGCTTATATCTCCACCTACCTTATCTGATGTGATTGGAGAGCCACCATCAATTCCTTACGCTGTTGAAATGATCCCAATACTTACACCACAAATATATTGTCTATATCTTCACCTACCTTATCTGATGTTACTTGTCACTGGATGCTCTGTTAGTTGTTAGTGGATGCTGTGTTACTTGTCACTGGATGTTCTGTTAGTTGTCACTGGATGCTCTGTTAGTTGTTAGTGGATGCTGTGTTACTTGTCATTGGATGCTCTGTCCCTTGTCACTGGATGCTCTGTTAGTTGTTAGTGGATGTTGTGTTTTTAGTCACTGGATGATGTGTTACTTGTCACTAGATGCTGTGTTGTTAGTGAAGCCTTTTGATTATATGTTTTTTTACAGATGAACTGTTTCCATACGATGTTGCGTGCTATTAAGCCAGAATTGTTTGCCAATGAGGACAAAATTGACAACGAAGTGAAATGGGCTAAAGTTTATGTGCAGAATGATACGTGACTGTAGTTGTTTTGTTCGATTGTGTTATGTTGTTTTTGTTCACCATAACAATTGCATGGTGCTAACATATTCAATTTCCTTGGCAGTGATTCATGTGGAGTTCATATTCTCTCTTTGCTACAAGAGTGGGATGGCACTGTTCGTGATGATGCAGGATATACAATGCTATGATACTCCAATGGTGAACTACAAGAGTTGAAGGTTGGCTGTTTGTGGTGGTTGGTTACCCATCCAAATAATGAACATGAAAGTGAAGTGATGTCGATGTTATCGAACTACAATAAGAGCAAAAAGAGGAGATAGAGTAGTCTATTAATTTTTTGTTTTGTTAGCCATGATATGTGTTGTAAGATGATTGGCAAACAGGTCATTTTGTAACAAACTAATCAAATTATGTTTATAATATTATTACCTTTGTCATCACATGTTGTAATACTAATTTCTTAGGGTTTTATTACATTTTTAATTACATTTTTGTTTTATATGTGCAAAGATATTAAGGGACAGAGTTTTATAAAATGTTCTAATTTAATGACAAGTGATATAAGAATTTCATAACAAATGAATATATGGATATTAATAATTGATATTCAAAATTTTCACCACTAAAGGTGTCTATATAAATTATGTTACAATGCTCCATTGACAAGTCATACTGTGAACATTGACAAAAGACAGTGTTCTCATTAACAAGTCACAGTGCTCCATTGACAAGTCATAGTGCGACCATCGACAAGGAAGTGTTCTTACTAACAAGTCACAGTGCTCTATTAACAAGTCATAGTGTGACCGTTGACAAGGGACAGTGTCTTCACTAACAAGTCACAGTGCTCTATTGACAAGTCATAGTGCCATCATTGAGAAGGGACAGTGTTCTCATTAACAAGACACAGAGCTCCATTGACAAGTCAGTGTATTACTATTGACAAGTCACAGTGCCACCATTGATAGGGGATAGGAAGAGGTAAGTTTTTGCCACTTCATTAATAATGATTATATATGACAATATAACTAAAATATAATATGACAGAGTGATTGAAAATATCATTTGATGGTAAAAAAGGTTATGTTACTTGAATTCATATTGTTGACAATTTACATCAGCAAATTTATTGACAAGTCATAGTGCAATGATTGACAAGTCATAACAGGTCTTATGACAACGCAGGGTGCAGGTAATGACAACTGAACTGACAGCAGAATCTAACATGCCAATTCATAGTCAACTTTCATTTACACCTTCATATACATGAAACTACACCTATTTCACAACCCATCCCAAAAAAACATAGGGGTTGCATGTAATGTCAAAACTAACCAATGGTGTTTATCTATTTACAAAAAAATTCCTTCACACCTATTTACAAAATATTCTCTTCACATCCATATACAAAAAATAGCTGACTTCAATATGTTCTCAGCTGGGATTTAGGTTCTTGCATGTCTTGTACAATGTTTTTCGGAGAGCAGTGGCATTTGGAAATATTTGTCCTTCTCCAATAATCAAATCCTTCCATTTTGTAAAATTTATTTGTGGTGTAGGTGTTGGGATCATTTCAACAGCACAAGGAATTGATGGTGGCTCTCCAATCACATCAGATAAGGTAGGTGGAGATATAAGCAATTCATTGACATCTCCAAATGATTGATTAATCCTGCAGGAAATGACAAGTTAAGGTGCATACATTGACAAGTTGGTAGTAAGACAGTAACAACTGACATACGAAGAAATGACAATAACAGTTTTGTTAAACTAAACTTACACATTTTGTTCCTCTAGTGTATTATCCCTTGTTGCTTCTATGTGGTCCTTATTTTCATTCTCTTCTACATACACATGACCACTTTCTTCATTGAACTTTATCAAATGTTCTAGCCCATCATCATCTACTAATTCCACAAAAGTTTTTTTTAGCAAACACAACTGAAAATTTCAAAAGAAATGAATTGCTTTCTTTTCCAGCAATTGATGATATTATCTCCTTCAATTCTTCATAACTTGTGCCCTCCTTTACATTTATTGTTCTTACACTACCTCTCACATATCTCATATCATCTTCTCTATTATTTATAAATTTTCCCCCTATGTGAACAAAGCAAAATAGATGCTTTACAGATGTACTCGTCATCAGGAATTTAAACCTGTATCAAGAATCACGCAACTGTCATTGACAAGTCAAGGCGCTATATTGACAAGTGTTGCGGCACACATTGACAACTATTGCGGCTTGATTGACAACACAATATCTCATTTCGTGCTAAGGGT